AAGATTGTAAACACGTTTCGGGTTTTTGTGTTGCTGCGGTGTGTGGCATGGGCATTAATGGGCCAAGGGGCGTGGCAATATACTCTTGTGGCAGGGTCTACTATGACTTGGAGCAGAAGGATGTGCAAGGCTACAGCTGTAGGATATATTTGTTTCACCTGAATTAGCTGTAGAGTCATCAAAGTCATTTCTTTCACTTTTTTTTTTGCAGATATCTCGTCGTAATTTTGAAAAAAAAGAACAACCATATTCTCTTAAAGGAAATAACTTCCTTCATAGGAAGAAATATTATCTTAGGCAGAATACCAAACGAGTCTTCTTTACTTGCTTTTGGATTTCTAAAGGAAAAACCTTATAATACAAGTAATCATTATAAAAGTGTATCTACCGCTGCGGCTCTCGAACCTCTCCTTACTTTCTTGTTTTTGTGGGTTAAAATAGAGACCGACTTGTCACGCACATTTGCTGCTGTTTGTTGCTGTTGTTTTTTGGTTGTCTCTTTTAGCCAAGTAGTTGCAGCAACTACAACAACTTTTAAGCAGTGAATGCCTGTTGTTGTGCGTTTTTTTTTTGGGGGCAGGAGGGATATAAATTTGTCATTTACCTGCTTGGGCGCATCCATGGTTGACCGTAATGAGCGTAAGGGAGATGGCTATCTATAAGGAGGCACACACGTGGGTGGGTGGTTGGGCTGGCAATAGTTTCACTCAATCGAATTTCAATTAGCGTAAATATCTTCTTTCCATCCACTCTTTCGTCTTGTCTGTGCTTCACGTTTTTGAGTCGATTTTGAGTTAATTTCTTTAAAGTTATTTTTAGTTTGTTTATTGGGCTTATTTTTTTTGAAGGTTATCAGTGGATTACGTTCGTTATTTTACAATCAATTGTAACTTTTTAAGTGTGTCACTTTTTTTTTGGGGCTTTTCTATTTCCTTTACGCGGCAATGCAAACAATTTTGAATTTCGACAGATTTTCAACTAGTTTTTTGTTTTGTTTTGTGATTTTGTTGGCCACAACTTAAATCTTGAATTTTCGGAAAAGATTAATTTTCGCATTCACTGAAAAACTTGTTCGGGAAAACTCGGATTCGATTCGAAGCTTTTGGCGTATACTGCAAATGGTAGCTGCTGTGGAACGGCTGAGCCAAATTGAACGCAACTGTTGAGTGCCTTTTTCTGCTCTGCTCTGATCTTTGCTCTGCTCTGCTCTGTTGACGCGTGCACACTCCGTTGCGGCTGTGCGGTGAATGACGACGACTGCGGCCGCCCCATGCCTCAAGTATTAAACAAAAAATTTTACATTAAACATTGTTTGCACACACACAAACACACACAGAGGCAGGGGCAGAGACAGAGACAGGGGCAGAGACAGAGGCAGAGAGTAGTGCTGCAGAGAGCATACATAGATAGGAATAGATGTACTCTACTCGTAGAGGTGTGCGGCGGGTATAAAGGTTTATAATTTCCATATCGCTTTTTTGGGCTTGATGCTGAACTTTAATGCCAAAAGTTTCCGTGGCTTAAGAGTGTAGAGAGAGAGAGATGTGATCAGGAGTGGGAACAGGACTATAGAGAGGTTCTAGTACTGGCTTAAGACGAACCGTTCCCAGGAATGGATAGAATTCAGTGAGAATAAAAGTGAAGAACAGTTCTAGCAGCGGGATGGAGAGTGTAGAGTGGTTCCTGGAATGGATTGTGTAGAGTAGCAGCAGGCTCCTGCAGACTGGGTACAGCATCAGAGCCAACAAAATCAAGGTCACAGCAATTTCCATTTCTTTCGGTTGCTTTTTTCTCTCTTTGTTGGAATTTCTGCTACAAATCCACTTGCGTAATGCACATTTAATTGATCCTCTCTTTCATGGGGTCTTCCATGGGGGGCGGCATAAAAGTCTCCAACAGTCTGATCAACTTTTTGCTTGAAATTGTGAAATAGTTTTTTTTTTGGGTGTTTCTTATTTTTCAGTTTTTTTTTTCGGTAAATCTGCTGTCTTTTAGCACGTACACAAAAGCGAAGAGATGGATAAAGATAGATAGATGAAAGAGAGAGAGAGAGAGCGTGAGTGCCGCAGCGACCTTGACACATATTTCGGCGGCTGAAGTCAACGACACCTGTTCCATTCGGTGGGGGGGACATAAAACATGTTTGTTGTTGCTATGTTGGATCTTGGATTTTTATGAATGACTCATCCGTTAGAAAGCGTGAGCGGGAGAGATGGAGGAGGAGGAGTGCATAAGAGGTGTGAGTGAGTTGTGGATTATTGGGGGGGGCAATGAACTCAATTTAAAAGGGGGATTTGAATGTATAACATTACTTGAAGGGTGGAAAGATGAAGCTGAGAGCTGCACCATTGAACTGCAACAATTATAGATACAGTCAGTACCAAAGGTAAAGAAAATATAACCAAAAAACCAAAAAGTCTACAATCTGTGATGGGATTTCTTCTTCGTTTTTTATACCGAAATCTTTATAGCATTTAATGCTCCACCCGCCCCCAAAAATATAACCCATAAATCAATGGCACCCAAGGCATCAATTCACATTTCATCAACGGGGAATTAACGTTCGGAATACCATCTGATAAATACGAAACATTGGGAACTCCCCCGCGAACCGAATGAACGCCTGTATCTGTATCTTCCCCTAGTCCCCCTGCGCCACAACAACAACAACAGCAACAAAAACCTTTATTTTTTATTGATTATCGCATCGCTGAGATTCGAATTGTGTTGCCGATGGTCAGTTCTGTTTTTGTTTGCCTCATGACGAGGCAGATTTTCCAGGCCAACGGCTGTGCTCCCCCCCCCCTGCTCACTGCCCGTGCCCCGCCATCGTTTTGCAGCTTAAGACTCGGCTTAAACAGCTCTGTTTAGCATTCAGCTGCGAATTGCTGTTAATTTCTAGCCAAAATATTTTTGTATTTAGCACCCCCCACCACCCGCAGTCTTTGCTTACTGCCCTCCAACCACACAATGGACAGAAAGACAGGAAAGTGGATCAGAGCTCAGAAAAGAACCTTGGCTGAAATGCAAATTAAAAATAATATTTTTCCCTCCACTTTGTGTAGGGAGGGGGGTCAGAATTAATGCCAGATCCGACGAGGTCTTCGGTCTCAGGAGTGGGGGGTTGGAGGCTTGGGGCTTTTGATCGCTTGACAAATGCCAAAACCACGGGCCGCCACCTCGCCATCCGCCAGCCTTGGCAGCGACTTACCCGCGCGCCTGCTAGTCGTGGAGGTGGGGGGTTTTCTGTCCAGCTCTTAAGCTCAGGCTCTATCTCAAGCTTTAATTACAGTTACTTCTCGCTCAAACGGTGTCTAAGCTGACATTTTGCATGTATCGAATGGATTGCATGGATCGCAGGGGGACCGGGGGGAGAAAATATAAACCAAGCCCAAGTGCAAAAGTCATGATTAGACAAGCGGAAAATATTTATGTCTGGGAATGTGGCAGGGATTTGTGGGAATATCCAAAGAAAGTGTAGACTGGAAGGAATCCAGGAATGCAGGCAAAGGCAAAATCAAAGTTCAAAATTCATTGCTTTAGTAGTAAGAGAGAAAGAGAGTAGAAAGTATACACAGTTCGCTCTCCTTTTACGAGCGGTGCAGTAGAAGAGAACAGAACGCAAAAAGATCAAAGAGAGCAATCGTAAAAAGGACAGCTTTAGGTCGAGCTTCCGCTCTTGCGCATTCTCTCCCCGCCGCCGCAATCGATGCGTTCATTCGGAAGTCAGCTCCGCGTTCTTAATTCGTTTTGGAATGCGAAAATGCAGGAAAAGTAAAAAATGTCGGTCAAATCTGTGTTTAAGTGTGTGACAGTGCAGTGCAACAAATGAAGTGTAGTTTAACATCCCATTAATGCAAGAGCTATCTAATTTTTTTTTTGTCGCGTGGTTCTCGGTTCGCGGTGCGTTGCTGCGTCGCTGCGTATGTGTGTGTGTGCTAAGAGAACAAAATGTAAACAAAGTGCTGCTGCAGTGAGAGCAGGAGAGAAGCTGGCGCTCAAAAAGTGAATCATGGCAAAAGCAACGGTACAAGTTCAGCAAGAGAGCGCAATTGACTTGAGAGCGCAACGCATGTTCTTCTTACATGTTGACATGTTTTAACAAATTAACAAGTTCAAGTGCAATAAAGGTGAGTCACAATCATGATGGGCCTCCCTTCATAAGAATATTCCTCTCTGCCAACTGCTATAATCATTTCAACCAATTGATTTCTTGCCAATTTTCCATCATTAACATTCCAAAAATGCTTTAAAACTTTGCTAGATTTTATGACAACTCTAATTACCAATAATCGCAGGTGTTAAATGATCTAAAGCGGGGGGATATCAATGTCGCATTGCTTAACGGTCGTTGAACGGATAGACCCGAGGCGTTTATTAGCATTCTTTTTCGCTAAACGAAACAAAACATTTTGGCAAATCCATTGGCTACGCTCAACATGAATAACTTAATAAATAATATAAATTTAAAAAAAAATAATATGTATGTATATTGTGTATAGTGTCTGCCGAGTGACGGGCCGCTGTCAAAAGTGTTCGAAAAGACAGCGGACTGAAGAGTGGCCGAGTGGAGAGACCCCGGGGACCGGACCCGGACCGGACTCGTGCCTTGTTTAATTTTTCGGTAGCTCAATCAAATTATAATCCACGTCGAAAGATATCAAGAAATAACAAGCTTGCAAATTATTTACAATTTATATGCATGCAAAACTACTACATACAAAAACAAAAACCAAAAAAAAATATGGAAACCTTCAACTGACTGACTGCGGTTTCGAGCATTAAGTTTTGAGGCTGATTACGGGCCAGATTTCGGATTTCACTGTGGCTATGCGATGGATACGAGTAGCCACTGCCCTTGCCACTGTTTCTGTTTTGCTAAACGTTCCCTCTAAGGTCTGTCGGTCTCTGCGAAAGCGGAGTTAAATGCCTCTGTCAAGGCTCCACAGATATGAGAATATTGTGTAAATATTGCAGTTCCAGTTCCAGGAAGATATGGGAAACCCCAGTAGGCATCGTATCTCTAATATGTATCCTAGCGTACATTCGATAATTCCAAGTCAGACAGACACATCTTCCCTTTCGACACTTCCCTTCGCTTCACACCATTGTAAGTACTCCAAAATTGCATTAAAAATCTGCACTACTTGAAAGTACATCCCATACTGCGTCTCATCCGTCTCCCTTCCATTGAAGATGTCTGCACCTCCATTGAAGATGTCGCGTGGCGCGACAGCTCGAAGACTCTGTAGCACAGACAGTCGTTGCATGTCGAGGAATTTTAGTCTCGATTCAGGATTTGGCACTGAAGTAGAGGACTCGCGGCAGGAGCTCTCTGGCTCTGTAGTTGAATGGCCTCCCAGTTCCATGGCGCAGGGGCGACACCAAATGACAAAACTATGGCCCCGCCAGGTGATCCAAGGGGAGCTGCTGGCCGAAAGCAAGCGTCACCCCAGGAAGCCCCAAATGCCCGTCACGAGCTATCAGTCGTGGCATGATGTCCCCTTGCAGTGGGTAGAGATTAGTGGCTTTCCGTGCGGTGCCACCGAGCAGATCCTCAACAGCTTTCACTGTGTGGGCACCATCCTGAAGAAGCGTCACACTCCGCACAGCCTGCAGCTACAGTACGCCTTTACAGTGGAGGCCTACCGCGCCCTGGAGTTCGATTCTGTGTGCATCTGTGGCTACAAAGTGCGGGTCCAAGGTCTGCTGGAGGATCCTGAGGAGCAGCAGAGGGCACAGCTGACAAGCCGTGTGCCGCAGTACCCGTGCTACTATCGAAATCCGCAGCATCCGAAGTTCGGCGTCAGGCAGTGGCAATGTTGCCACCGGCAGCGGCAGCGCCAACGGCAGCAGCAGTGGAACTGCAGTCTAACCAACGACACCTATCAAGAATGCTGGTTCTGGGGCTTCGTCGTTTACTGCTGCATGGTTTGGATGGATCTTCTCTTCTACTGCATGGGATGCTTGTGGCGCTCCTTTGATAAATTGATGAAGTCGCGGAATGCTAATGGGAACGACACCCACCCCGGCGCCGGCTACCACTGTGAACTCGTGAATGACAGCGTCAATAGGCACTTGAAAGCGGCCACTAAAGCGACCCACTACCGGCAGTGCCGATCCAATTGATCTACGGATATTCCTTAATATTTACTCGTGTTTATTTTTGAAAATTCATAACAAAATTCTCTTCTTTGGATTAGTTTTGTTCTTTAACTTGGGAATATAATATACAGCCACAACATTTCTACCCTATTTACTTGTTTAATAACTTTCATTCAATTTCCAAATCTCTGGACTTATTTTATTATTATTATTATAATATATAGGAAGTTTACAAAACTTAGCTTACTACTCGTAGGAGGTATAGCGCTAGCGCCTTATTTTTATTACTATTATTATTATAAGTAAGTATAAAAGTTTTTATAGCATTTTGTATAACAGTTGGTATAACAGCCTCTATTTAGCATGATTTAAAATTAATTAATTAAAAAAACTTTCCGTATAACGCCAATTAATGCCAATTAAATCTCTGCAAATATTCAATTCGTTACATTTTAAAGCGTTTAATGGGCGGGGGGAACATGCTCATATTTTGATAATTTATTTTGATATTTATAATAATTTTGCGCATTTTATTGAATTTTGCCAAGTTGCCAAGTTATTTCCTTTCCTGCTCTTTTGTTTGTCTACCCCTCCTAGTCGTCTACTCCACGTCATGCCTATTGTGTCTGCCTGTCTATCTAATGGCCAATTTTGATTCTTTATAGACCATTAGAAGAGCAGCCAAGCAGCCGGCTCTCTCTTTTGTATAACAACTCCATTTAATGGTTAATGGCTAATAGCCAACTGCGTACACTTGATATTTGTTCAACGCTCGCGAAGAGACCTTCACAGAAGGAGAGGCGGCAAGTGGCGAGGGGGTACGTGGTGTGGGCGGTTGGTGGCCGCCTGGACACGCATCACGGAACTGGAACTCTTCCGGAAGAATTGCTCGGAAATCCGTCTTTGTCTTTGATTTATTACACACACCCGTCGCGTACCGTCCCGTCCCGTCCGCAGAGATCTGCGTTCGTTTTGGCTAATTGCTGGCTGGCTTTACCTGCCCTCGAATGTAATCCACTTCCACACTCAAGTTCTGATTTTTCTGATTTAACTGATGGAAGCGGAACTTGTGTGCTTCCTCGTTTCAATTAGACTCGAATTGTGGTGCAACCAAAGCAGCGATCGGCCATGCCACAGGGTCATCGCCGCGCAGCAGAAGAGTTTTTGTTTCCCACGCCAACGCTTCGGTTCAATTAGAAATGAGTATCACAAAATGGATTTGCATTCATTAATGGAACAATCTCCGGTTCTCCAACGTTACCTAATGAATGCATGCCCACCCGCTCCACCCTCTGGCTGAATCGATTTGCCAGATCATTTGGCATTATATAAATAAACATTAGATGCTCGTACGTTCAAGCGTTCAACGCGCTTGATAATTGCTCGTGAGCCACACATCTGGATCTGAGAGTCAATCAATGGCCTAGCAACCAGACGACATTCAATACGATCCATTCAACCATTCCAACTCTGATGATTGAGTGGGTGGGGTGGCTCCTAGCCAACACGCCAAAAGGGTTAACTACACATAGCTGAAATATCGCAATATCATTGGGCAATTATGAACGTGGCCTGCTGCTGCTGCCGCTGCTGCTGGAACTTTTTTCTTTGTACCTTAATGTGCGACTACGTGCATTAATTGTTCGGCCACATAAAAGCAGGGCCAAAAGGCGCTCAAAGGGGGTGGGGGGCGGGAGGAGTAGGGTAAGTACAACAGGTGGCAGGGTGCCTGCAATTGGAACTGCAGTTGCAGCTGTTGCTGTTGCCAGATGCCAGATGGGTTCAGACTTACACTAGACTACATGCAAGAAAACTGTCATAACCTCTAACTATTCCCTAAGATTTCCCTAAGACTTGCACAAATATTTATGGAATATTTGATGGAGATTTAATGCCTGGATTTCCCTCAAGCTATGCAGCACTCTTCCTTTTTGGGAACTCCTCTCATTAGTGACAGCGTCCCCCAATCCCTCCTCAATGCTGTTGTCGAGTGTTCGCTAATGCATCACTTTGCAAATTCGAATTTCAAATTCAAATAAATATGTCATTTGCGGGGCAACAAATTTGTATACATCTACATTTCTGTTGCTGTATTTCCACAGCAATCTGCTTGGCTGTTGAGTTATGAATGCAAAATGCTTAAAGCAATTGGCAATCGTAAAGATATACATATGTACATATATATGTATCTATCTATCTATCTATCTATCTATCCATCGATGTAGTGCATCAGCAGCAGCAGCAGCAGCAGATGTGAGTATAAAAAAATCACAAATTAGACACGATTTTCATTTGGATACACGATTGCCCCCACCATATCCCATATCCATATGCAATGACAACATTTATATGGAATACATGCACAGATGCAGATGCAAATATACTCGTATATAGATACAGATATATGTATATCGTAGCAAATGATGATGAGATGTTCAAGTTTTCATGGGGACAGAGCAACAGATTGAGTCGGCGACCCCAGTGGTGATAATCACAGCAGTAGCTTACCCTTTTTTTTCTCTCTGCTAATTGGATCTTAAATTGCAGCAAAGAGGAGGAGACTGCACCGAGGGGTAAATACATATTGTGCACATATTTGTAGGGCACACAGCTGTTCAAACACATTCAGAATGATTGAGATTTATCGTTTAATATGGCAGACAGCTGAGACAGAGAACAACCAACAGCTGCTCGCATTTATCTAACACGTGGAAAATACACCTCCACCTCCACACACACATATCAATGCCACCTGCCCCCTCCCTCTGCTCCTGCTTGCCATTAGCACCTCTTTGCACCTATGCCTGCTCTTGCTCAGGGGATATTTGGTGCAGCAAATCAAACGTCACTCCGCAGTATTCAATGAATGTGCCACAGAGTGCTGCTAAGGGGCATGCAACCATGCAGCGAAAATTACCCATCAATCATTTGCCAACACATTTTCTGACCCTGAAGTCAGAACAGAAACCGAATCGACAGAATCGATTGAACAATTTGCCAATTTGCACTCTGAATCGTTTTTTCCAATTTGATTCCACTTTGATTTTTTTTCATTCGGTTCTACTCCGTATCTTTTGTGGCCCAATGATTCAGCGCAGGCCAGCTGATTCGCTGGCGCCACAGCCACTAAATTTATGCATCAAATCACATACAAAATATCTCAAATATTTTCTGTATTTCAGCGTTTTTTGATGTCGAATTCTTGTGCGAATTCTTAGGAAATCTGCGTAAAAGCGTAAACCGCAAAAATCAAATAAACAAAATGAAAACAATAAATTAAACATATACACTGCAGAAAATCGTATATTGTAAGGGTAAGTAAGTAAGTACATGTAAGTACATGAACTTTTATGTGCATACAAATTAACTGGCGGAGTTACAATGAATGCTTAAACTATTGATAGGTTATTGGGAGACCCAACTCGCAACTGTTCCCTAAATCCCAGTTGCCAGAATCTTTCCTGCCATATATTTTATTATATTTTGTAGTTTATTTTATAGAGTATACGTCTACTTACCTTTAATTTTCCTCTCTTTCTTTGTGCGGCTTATGCTGCTTTATTTTATTTAAATTTTCTTGTTATTTGCCAATGGACTTTAGACGCCAGAAAATACACACAAAAAATGGTGACGCATTTGTTGCTTATTTGCTGTTGAATTTTGTGGTTCCTTGTTTTTGTTTTTTTGTTGCTTCGCCTATTGTCTTTTTTGCGATGTGTCAATGAACGCGTTTGCTAACATTTGTTTTTATATATTTTTTTTTTATTTTTCCTAGATTTTGCTTGATTTTCTTTTGTGCTTTTTCCTGTCGTTTTTCACCTTGGTCTTTTGGCGTTTTCCCGGGTTTCTTTTATTTGCCTTTCACTTGCTGTTTTGGGTATTTTTAAGAAAACAAAAACTCATAAAATTCCTTAAGTAAATTTCGTAATTTTTGATGGTGCCTTGTGAAGAGAACTACCGCTGCCGGGCAATGTCATTTGACAACTGTCAAACCTAAATCGAAATATTGAAGAGGCTCTGGCTCTGCCTTTGCTCTGCTGCTCCGTCACACGTTTCATCAATTTTTCATTTAAGTTTAAATATAAATTAAAATTCCACTACACGTAACACCCGCTGCCGCCAACGCCACCCGCCCCGCGCCGCCACAGCCGTTGTCTTTGCCTTCGCAGGGGCGCAACGAATTCTCTTTGCCTTGCATTCCACACTCCACGATGACGTGTCTGTCCCCCGAATCTCCATCAATACCCCCAATATATATTTAGGCGGCCTTCTCCTCCTCCTCCTTCTGTTCATCTTCTCATTATGTCTGGGCCCAATGCCACATCACGTACACACGAAAAAAATAAGTTCTGGCCACTTGTACGTGCCACAAGCGATCGACCGACCGACCGACCGACCGACCGATTGATTCTCTAGTTCTCTCTCTCGAGCTACTGCAAAGGCGTTAGCACTCTTTGAAGGGGCATGGGCGTGGCATATCATAGTTAAAGTTCAATTAAATTTGTCATTTGTATGCGGCGTTGCGGGGCAGAGTGTCTCTGGGGCATGAGAAAGGTCATGCGGTGCGACGCGACAAAAAGTTCGTTGTCCAAGTCTTTTGATTTTTGATTTAATGTTTTTCGCATTACCGGAAGCACTGCGACCAGTTCCGATGATTGAATGCGATGCAGGCACGTGGAAGTGCTACTGTGAATCGTGATTGAAGTGGGAGAACAAAAAATAATAATAAGAATATTGATTATGGCAGTAAATGTTGGTGAATATTGGTCACAGTTTGTATAGAATTCGATGTGGAATAAATTTAATGAAAGTAAATTCGATTTTGTCTGGATATTGGACAGAATTTTGTTGGATTTTGGTTGCAGGAACATCTGCGAGCTACTGGGATCCGTAATTGATGGTGGGAGCTGAGTTGATTGTGGCTATAAAATGTTTATAGCTATTAAATAAATAGGAATAGGAATCGAATAGGAAATTGTCTTAAAGGAAGGAAGATCTAAATGTATCTTGTGGTTTAATTTTAACTGTTTAAATGATGTCTCAATGCGGATGACTCAATGCCGATTGTGGTAGAATGGGGAATACCTCGAAAGATAATCTCAGCATTGAACTAAGGAATGCCACCCCGTGACACTTGGACAATCATTGCGATTTCCGACTAATCACCACTCTAAAGCGAATGATTCATACATAATTGATTCAATCATCCATCAACTTCTGTTTCAATTTTCCAAATGAATGGACTTGAATATGATTTAATTTCGATTTTTCATGATATATATTGCCCCCATAAATGTGCAGAAAAGTGGAAAAATCCATTCATTTAATTTGGATTACTAATTCCATTACATGTCAAACATTCAAAGCAAATAAATGAACCGAATCGATAGATTGAATAGATTCATAAATTGCGTATTTTAATGAATGTTTTGTGTGCAGAAATCGAAACGAAATCGAAGCACAAATTTTTGCACATTTTGCTTCTATAATTAATTGAACTTTTATGCGAAATCGAATAGAAAACGAAATCAAAATAGAAACAAAAATCGCAAACAAAAAGCAGAAGCAGAAGCAAAAACAGAAACAGTAGCCATAAAACAAGACAAATGGTTAGATAATTTTATTGAGTTCTCGGTTCGGTTTTCGGTCACATTTCGTGGCTGACTTCAGCTTCAGCGTCGCATAGCATTGATAAGCAGCGTGAGGGCATTGATAAGGCGGCCAGGGGCTGACACTCGAGGCCCCCGCGCGCACTGAAAAATGCTTCCTGTAATGCTGCCGCCTGACATTGAACCAAAGGCAGCGTACACAGAAATGGGGCTCTAAAAATCTAGGTAATTGTGTCTGTTGCTCATTAGACTTTAAAACTTATTGTCTGTTTCGTTGGAAATGTGTTTTTGGGATTCTAGAAAATTAGAAAACACTAAAACAGCAAACGTTGAAGGTTTTCCCAAGACTCTCATGATTTAGAGATAGTTTTTCATACTTCTTAAAAGTATAGCTAATTTTTGTACTCTCCTTATCGTAGGTAGATGAAATCATCTGTTTTATTTTGTTTATTTAAGGCAGAAATAATGCACAGAAAATTTTTATTGATGATTTTGTTCAATCTATTTTAATAAATGTTGTCTTGATATCTTCCTTTCCCCGACCTATTCCCTTTTTAGGAGAGTTCTTCAAACAACCAAAACCCATCTAAACTTCTTATAAACTCCATCGTTTATTCATCTCCGAAACCAACATAAGCTCTGATCTGCTCTGCTCTGCCCTTTAGCCCCTTAGCTATTTTTTCTTTGGGGCGTAACTTTACCCCTCCACCTTTTAGGGGTAACTTCCGGGTCATGCCCTGCAGCCCGCATCTGATCTGTGCCGCATTTTCCATATTATTATTATATACATGAACTCTGGGGGCGCTCCTACGGAAGACATTAATTAGTTAATTGTTTTGTTATTGTGACAAAATACCCGCCAATGTTCGGCCGTTCGATGATTGATGGCTGTTTGATTTTTGTGGATTTTGTGGAACTTTGGAAATTGGCCATCATTTGTTGGCCTGTCAGCAGTTGGGGCTGGAATTTTGATTCTGAGGGAGCAATCTCTCTAGAGTAAAACTGAGGCTGTGGTTCCGCATTTGGGTGGAACCAATCATCAATCATCCATCAAGAAGGCATACAGGACCAGGCAGCCAAACGCTGCCACAGATTCTTGCGAATCAACCAACAAATTTATTCCATTTCCCATTTCTTTCCAGCTCAATCTATTGATTGAGTATTACTTCAATCTTTTGTTTTTTTTATTTTTATTTCTATTTCTGTGCTTTATTTATTTATACAATTTTTTTCTATCTGCTTTGATTTGTTCTGTGAGTAATTTCTGTTCATTAATAGCTGAAAAGTGATACTGGCAGAAATTCGATGTGTTCGTTTGTTGCTAATGATCGTAGGATGTATCGAGGGAACATATGTATATGTATATAGTATAGCATGTCATGGCATCGTGCATTTATATATATAGTTTTTTTTTGTTTTTTATTGATTCTTGTTCTATTGTTTTTTATGGGATAATCATTCAATTAAATACCATTACTGAGTGGTTTTCTCTACATCTTTGAAGTTTCTTTTCCGCCTTAAAAGTATCGAGGGATACCAAGAGGTCACTGGGGCGTCTCATTGATCGATGGGTCTTTTCCTGTGAATTATCTGGGCGATTTATAAAGAAAAAAACCTCACTGAAAGCTTAATTTACTTGCGGTCATTATGTTTGTATTTTTAGAAGTACAATTTAATTCTCTGAAAATAAATCCCAATTCTCAACAGCAACGATATTTCCTATTTATAAAAATGTAAAGACATAATGGCCGGCAATTAGCTGAGGCTTTTGTGTGACTTCCACACTTCCGCTTTTTCGGGCTTATGGGGCTTTAAACCATATTTAAAATGAAAAAGAAACAAAGCAAAGCAAAGCAAAACAAAACAAAGATCCATCATGTTAGAACTTGTGAACTTTTGAGGTGACTGTAAAATGCAATGAAATGCCAAGTATTTGAGATTGTTTTCAATTAAATTGATGAGATTTTAAGGCAATGAAGTGATTAATCACGTGAATTGGGAGTGCAGTTGACAATTATAATGACTCGCCAAACAGCCCAGAAATTATGTGGTAGGGTGCCGAGTGCCCCCCCACTGGAATATACAAATATCATTTCAATCCGCATACCCTGTAATCTGTGAGGCATAGCTGTGGGCATTACTTTTTTCGGTCATTGGGTTATTAAATGATAATGAACCGCACAGAAGCTTCAACGTTTTTCTTGTAATTTGTTTGGCCTTGAAGCCTCGCCAGCTTGTAGAAGATTTCACAGCCCGAAAAGAGAGAACAAATACACACAATGCCAGCAGCAACCGCAGAATATAAGCCAAAGCTAACGCTAAAGCAAATGCTCATGGACCTCCCTCCTCCCCTGTGTAGAAGAAGCCGTAAAGCCATTGCTTCAGCTTCAGCTGGAGGTCAACACGCTGTGGAGAAAAAAAAAATCAAGTTTACAAAACTCCAAAGCAAGTAATTACAGCGTAAGAGTCGAAGTCGAATGCCCCAGTAGCCAACATGGTTGATAAGAATCGAAGCTTTTTGGGGCTAATTAAAAACGACCACAAGCAGCAGGCCCAAATGATTTATGTGTGTGTTTGAACCTCAGTAGAGCACTGCCAGTGAGTTCAAGTACACCTGAAAGCACCTGAAAGCAATTGTGGAGACAATCGAAGGTAATAGAAGTCAATCGGCGATTCCCTTAAGCAATTGCCATTCAATTCAACGAATCAACAGATTTTTAAGCATGCAAAATAGAATTATAACCAATGTACCCCTAGCTGTGGCGGTAGGGCAACATTTGGCTACTGTAAAGTGGTGAGACAACCAACCTGTTTATTGATTTCACTTTGTTGGCCAGAAAATCAATCAGCAAAGCAGCGTAACAATAAGCATTAGATTTTGTGGCAGCGACCTTCATGTGTGCTGTGAACTTGAGACATTGGACGCACTCGCCACTCGCACTCGCACTCGTACTCGTACTGGTAATCGTAATCGCACTGTCAATGCGGAATCCGCGCAAACGGAATTAAAACAATTTGCGACAAAAATTGCCTCGAAAAAGTTTAACGACTCGATCCAATTGTTTGCCTAACACGAACAGAAAATCTGTTGCTATGAGGGGAGATAAGCCTAAGTGGCAACTGGAACGTTTTCTGGTTTAATTGAATCGGAATTAGGCGCCTAAGGCTAATGATCTGCACCAAATTTCATTAATTAAAGTAAAATCACCCAAAAAAGAAATAACAAATTTAAAGTACGCGCCACATATTATCGACTACGATATTGATCGAATCGTAGTACAGATCTGACAAGCAGTGCTGCCAGAATTTCAGAGTCCAACATATGCTAGAATCGAAAATAAAATATGTGCTAAAATCTAAAATTAATTTGCCAAAACTAAATACATCTCAAAAACTAAAAAATTGTGTAGTTTTGGGGATATCATCCCTGATTCTGTCGACGATAAATTTAGCGCTTCTGAGCACTAGGCTTATCGCACGAAACTATCGATATTCCCATATCGATGCCAATATTGATATCAATTTAGTTGCATCTCTACAAAAAAAAAAACGTGCTGTCAAAGTCGCGCTGATTTTTGATTTTACTTAGTTTTCTGTAATATATTTCCATAATCGATATGGTTAACGTTAAAAAGGAAGTAACTTGCGACTATTGTGGCACTAGCAATGAGCCCGGACAAATGTTGTCCGCCAAAAAGGCATACTTTGGCAGCAAAGTTAGCGACGTTCTGCACACCATCACAAAACGCAATGTAAGTACAGGCTACGCTACGGAAAACAGCAACAATGATAATTGGGAAGAACGTTTTTTTTTTTTCCAGATTCCCTCTACTTTGTCCATCAAGGTGTGCTTCATTTGCTTCTCGAAGTTTGTGCAGTGCGAGCGCACAATACAAAAAATTCAGGAATTTGTCGACCAGAGCCTCGCGCCTTCGGGCGGCAAAAAAAAGAGCGCGAAAGATGATGAAGAAGATGAAGTAGTGAACTCTGAGGAGGTAAAAAAAAAGAAACCGATGAAGAAGCGCAGCTTCTCTGTGCCTGGACTTGGTACATTGCAGCCGCCGACGATAATCGAGGCACCACAGCAGCCCAAATGCTCCACAGGGAAGCCAGACTCTGACATTCTGGACAACTCTGTGGTATTGAAGCCTGCCAAAACATCCGACAACAAGAAAAACAATTCGATTCTGAGTATATTTGGTCGAAGAGCCACTACTGCTGCCGATGACTCAGAGGAGGAGGATGAAGAGGAGCAAAGCGAAACGGAGGAGAAGGAACTGCCGCAGAGCAGCGCCCTTTTTCCTGCCATATTTGAATGCAGGCGTTGCGATTTTAAAGTCAGGTACCAAAAGCCAATGAAACAGCATTACAAGCAAGTCCATGGACAGCAGCGTCCCAGGATCTACTTTTGCCCAATGTGCGCAAAATCGTTCGGTGTTGCCAAAACGCTCAAGGAACACGCCAAGGCGGCCCATGGCATAGAAGACAAGCCAAAGGAAAAAAGCGGCGCTGGCAGGGCCAAGACGGTCGAGAAGGAGCTGCCGGCTGCAAGGAAAAGGAAAAAGTCTGAAATGGATGTGGAGGTGGCGATCAAGGGAATAGCCGAGGTTGATGAAGAGCTTGCTATCGAAGTCATAGAGGCAAAATCTCCTCTTAAAGCGCAGACGTCTCTTCTTAAGCAGCAGCCACGGACTCCGTCCTCGCCACAGACTCCTGTTAAGCCCCCGAAGACTCCACTGAAGCTACAAACTGAGGTACAAAATGTGGACAGCGAGAACAATAATCAGTCGTTAGCCGTCATCCGAGCGTTGAACGAGCACAAAAAGAAGAAGAATGTGACCAACACGGATTACACCTTTGCCATCAACGACTCGAGTGCCTCGACGCCAAAGCAAAACGGCGAGCCAATGCCATCGACTGACCCGCTGATCTGCAGCATTTGTGATGCGGAGCAGACGTCAGTCAAGACGATGCAACGTCACATGTCCACGTCCCATGGCATTGACAAGCCAAAGATATTCAAGTGCACGAAATGCGAAAAGTCGCTGGCCAGCAAACAGTCGCTCAATCATCATTTGACCTGGCATTTGGCCAATCCCCAGGCAGAGGTAACATCCAAACGGCAGATACTACAAGGAGAGGGACCTCCCAACAAGCGGAACAAGACCAAAGAAGCGGAAGACGAGTCCAATGATGTGGCTGATGGGGCTGGGTCTTCGCTCAAGCAGAGCAAGAAGCTGTCCGAGACCACCAACGATGTGACTGGCGGTAATGCTTCGCCCAAGAAAAGCAAGAAGCTTTCTGAGACCGCCAATGATGTGGTTATGCCTTCGCCAAAGAAAAGCAAGAAGCTTTCAGAGACCACCAATGACGTCGCTGAGTCTTCGCTCAAGAACACCCCCCCTAAAGAGCTGACGGTCTCGCTGTTATCAGACGAGGAAAAGTGGATTTTCCCGCGGCCCAAGAAGACAAAGAAGGACCGCAAGGAGTCGGAGTCTGTCAACATCTCGAATGGCAACGACCTTAATGTGTCGCAGAGCTATCCGCTCGACGAACTGGCCGAAGTAAACCCCACAGTGCAGCCCCACAAGCGTGAAATGTTAGCATCCCTTTGCGAGTCCACCACCGCCGATGAATCCGAGTTCAATTGCAGCCAGTGCCCAAAGAGCGTTAAGTCGCAGCGACGTCTCGAATCGCACATTACCAAAATGCATGGAAGGTCGCTCAAGTGCAGCAACTGTTACAACAAATTTCACACTCGCCAGACCTACGTGGTGCACTTCGGAGAATGCGAAGGGGAGGGCTCGGAGTCAGGCCTGCCGTGTGGCGTGCGCAAGTGCACAAAGGTCTTTAAGACTGTGCCATATCTGGAGGATCATTTGAAGAAGCGCCATCAGTGGTAGGCGGCAAAGCAGCAGAAGGGAAGCCAGAAGACACCTAGAGTAAGAGAAGCTGCCATGGAAGGTGACGCCTTTTTTTGTTGTTAAATGTAAAATGTACATCGAATGAATGTGTACATAAATCAGGTGACAGTAGACACAATTATGTACACATTCATTCGATGCACATTTAAAATTTAACAACAACAAAAGGCGTCACCTTCCATGGTGCCTAAGCACCTAAGTTAAGAGAAGATGACGCCTTTTGTTTTGTTAAATGTAAAGTGTACATCGAATGCACGTGTACATGGCATAAGTTTAGTTTATAATCGTTTTTCTTAGAAATAAATGTAGACGCTAAAGAAGAGAAACTTTGTTGCCGCACTTTTTTGTATTTCATTTCTTATATTTCCCAGCCAAAAAAAAAACAAAACAAAAACAGTTGTAAAAAGTTGATTTGGTGGAGACTGGCTCAACCGCTACCTCTATAGCAATGGAAATGGAAATGGAAACAACACACAATATTCTCTAGATACACTTTTTCTACTTAATGTAAATGATGATAACGGTAATGAAAATGGACTCCTCCTGCTCTCCTGTCTTCAGGATGTCGTCATGGTGGTCCCCACCTTGCCATGGATCTCTGCCTGGGCAATCTTCATTACATCCAGTGCGCCCTTTTTGATCAGCTCTTCGGCTAGAGACTTGCCCAGCAGATGCGCCCGCTCGTACACCTGTCGGCTGTAGCATGGATGCTGGTACAGGCCGCAGAAGAGGTTGTCCACATCCTCAATGAGCACCGACTGGGGCTTGGGCTGCTCCTCATCTGCGTAGTCGAACATTTGCACTGTCTTCTGGAGGAACGGACACTTTGCGGGCGCTCCGCTCTCTTTGGACGGCGCCTCGAGACCACTGCCCTGATGCATGGCCGCAAAGGGGCACTTGGAAGACACTGTTGCCACATTGTCCACCTCGTCACCGATGCTGCTGCCAACGCTGGCCCGACTGCTCGGCGGAGTGGGTAGAATCGGTTGAGCAGGCACTACCCCTGACGCTGCTGCTGCTGCGGCTGCGGCTGCTGTTGCATGGGTCACTGGACATTTGCCGGCCTTGGCATATGAGATTTTCGTCTCATTATTCACGTACGGGCACTCGCCCATAAAGTCCACGCCCACTGGCATCAGCAGGGGACAATGGGGCGTCGGATTTACATTGGAAGATGTATCTGAATCGCCTGATGCATCGCCACCCGAATGGGGGACCACATCACGCTGCATCGGACACCGATTGGCATTGGTGGTGTCGGCATCGCCTCCTCCTGCATCTCCGCTGGCTCCCAGAGTGTTGTTGTTGCTCAGAACAGGGCAGTGGCTGGCCAAATCCGTCAACTCCTCCACGCTGTACCCCGCCAGGGCCTCACAGGCGGCCACATCCTCACAGATCACCGGGGGACTGCCCTGTGGTCGGGGCGGACTACTCGAATTCGAGTTGGACTCGGAGGAGCCCGAGCCCGAGCTGCAGTTCCCATTCCTTGGTCGCTTGCAGGCCGGCGGTGAGTCGCAGCTGCTGCTGTTCTCCTGCTCCTCCTGCGGCTGCTGCTGTGCCCCACGCTTCCCCGTTTGTTTCTCGCTCAAGGCACACGACAGATGGTTTCGGATCTCAATGGCGCCATCCAGACTCCAGACAGCGCCCGTGAGGGACAGGTCCACATCCTGGCTGTTGGCATTCAACGGTTCGCCCTGAAGATTGCTCCAAACAGCCACCGGGGCAGAGCAACCGCCACCCAATGTCTTGAGGAAGCTCCGCTCCGCCAGAATGCGGCATGTGGTGTTCAGGCACATCAGTTTCTGCAGCATTCCCAGCACTTGGACATCGTTCGCACGACACTCGACAGCCAGGGCGCCCTGTCCGACGGCATAGAGCAGATCGGTGGGCTCCAGCACCTGGCTGACGCGGCTCATCCATCCCATACGCACAAGGCCCGCCTGGGCGAGGATAATGCCCGCGAACTTTGAGTCTGCGGCATCGAGTTTTGCCAGTCGCGTATTTAGATTCCCACGGATATCGCAAACGATCAAATGCGGATACAGTCGTCGGATCTGTGCAGTGCGACGCAGCGAAGAGGTGCCTGAAAAGAAGAAGAGTTCCTTAGATTAGATTCGTTCGAAGTTCGAGCTTGCTTTCTTTGATCTCTTACCAATCACACTACCCTGCGGCAGAGAGGCTATTGTATGGCCCTGGAAATTCTCGCGCAGCACTAGAGCATCCCGTGCATCCTCACGCTCTAGGACTGCCCCAATGGCCATGCCTGTGGGCAGAGCCGTTGGCAGATCCTTCAGCGAGTGGACAACAAAATCGACACCGCCATTCCGCAGAGCATCTTCCAGGTCGCGGGTAAACAGACTTTTTTCACCAATTTTGGGCAGTGAAACATTGAGAACACGATCCCCGAACGTGGACATGGTGTCTATAGAGAGGAAAAAAATACAATTAATCAAAATTCGGCCTTTTGCATAGATCTAAGATTGTTGCCAGTCCATTCGGTAGTTCAGATAATTATTGTTGTATATTCTGCCTCCCATTACCTATCTGAAGACTGTAAATTGTATCATCTATCACCTTTGGATGGTTGTGTACCCCTTAATTGCATTCTCGCCTGCTAGATAAGGGGGAAACAGTAGCTAACCCCGTTCCCCTTGCGAGTCTGACAACAATCAAGCGAGAGACATGCCATGCCACCATCGAAGTACATATCTACATATCTATCTTCGACACTTCCCTTCCCTCACTCTTCCGCTTTCGTCGGCACGCAATGATAATGTGTGGTATGTATTTTGCGAACGTTTTGCTTATCGTTGGGGGTACGGCGAGCGGACTCTGAATATAATTTGAATATTGTATGTAGAGCAGTGGCAGTGCCGCGGCAGAGAGAGGAAGAGGATGTTGCGTGTTTGAGGCATTTTAATCACATATCGATCAAGGAAATGACGTCACATTATGGAATATTCTCCCAATATGCAAAATGCCTAAGCCCAAGATGAATCATCGTACATACATATGTATTATACCATAAATTCCAAATCTTATCAAAGTCCAAAAGGTACTCCAAAAAGAATGTCTGATTAAAATGTATATTTCAAAAGATTTCGTTGCTATTTCAACAGATAATGTTATTGAATATCTAATCGGCGCATACAATTTCTCAGATATCGACAGAACGAACGGTAGTTAATGCTGCCATCAGATCGGATATATATGTACACACAAACACACACGTTTTGGTGTACGAGATAGAGAGAGAGTGGTTCGATGTGTGTGTGTGTGTGTGTGTGCGTGTATGGCATAACATTTCGGCATTCGTTCGGGCAAACCAAAAAGCAAATCAAAAACAAAACCGCAGCAGCATTGACATTGAGCAAAACTTTGCCAAATTGGCACGTGAGCGAGTGAGAAAGAGAGACGCTCGTAACGGAAGACCAAATAAAAGAAGAAGCTGAAGAGAGCCGGCTGGCACCGTTAAAGCAAATCATGTGCGATTCATTCGAATCGAACGAAACATTTGTTTTAGTTACTATCAAAACAACGATAAGACCAGCCTACAGGCTACAGGCGGCTACAGCAAGTCATGCTTCGAAAACATTATTTGTTATTTCGAATACCCCCCATACGCAACGCAGCGTGAGTTCTGCTTTTTGTTTGAACCCAACACACACACTTTCACTTACGGATCTCGAATCGCTGCTTGGGATATAGTTTCTGGAGTCGGCCGATGACATGTTTGGTTTGAATGAGAGCCAGCTGTAAGCAAAAGTAAAGAGAAAATAATTAATCAATTGCTGCTTGGCGCGCTACGCTACTTAAATGCTAAATGCAAATGAACCTGCAATGAGGCGAGGAGTGGGGGGCAAGTGAGAGAGGTGGAATCGGGGCTAAGTAAAGCGTCAACGGCTGGCCATTAAATTTCAAAAACAGCAAAGTAATTTCAAATATAAATTCCATCAGCAAAGCTGGCCTTCGTTTTTGTTGTTGTCGTGTAGAGTTGTGCGCACAGCGCCAAAGGTGGCTCCGCTTGCAATTAACAAAAAAAAAAGGAAACAAAATTAAATCCAAAAAATACAACTCTCTCAATAACACACACACAGACACTTCAAGCCAAGGCAGCGACTTGAAAAGAGATCGTGAGAGAAAAGAAACACAAATCGAGTACATATGTATGTATGTACATATATGCCACCTCTCCTTTACCCCTCCTCCACACATTAAAGTGCGTGCCTTTTGCTGTTGCTGAGCGAATTGTGTAACAGTAACGAAAAAGCATAGACACAGCCATGCGAGAGGAGCGGGAGAGCGGGAAAGCAAGCAACAAGTCTCTCACAAAAACAGAAACTCTTGCATAAATGCGGGCACCATGTGTGAGTGATAGGGAGAGGGAGGAAGGAAGGAAGGGGCTTGCCACGGGTTAGACAAAATGTGATTGAAATTCAAATGTACAAAATGTGTGTATTTTTAATTCAAAGCAAAGCTGATGCATGTATGCACATATTTACAACACTTTGCACTGTCGGATAGTCCACTTACCTCGCTCTTTCGCGACCCCACTCGAATAACCTTTTCCTGCGCAGACATGCTTTTAAGTTATATTTTAGCTAAATAGTATTGCACAATAATTTGTTTATGCTAGATGCTAGGTTATTTGTTCGTTGTGTTGTTTTTGTTGTTGAGCTGGCTGGCTGGACGTCGTGGAGTAGTAGTGGAAGAAGTGAAAGTGTGTGCGCGAGGACAGCTTTCGGGGTCACGTTGCCAGTATGTAGAGAGAGGGAGAGAGAGAGCCTTCCGAGATGAACGATGAATGAAAACGTAAATGCACGCACTATTCACACATGGTGGGATTATTGTCACGTTGGCTTTGTACTAATCAGCTGTTGGTTAACTCGGTTCAAGAATCAATTGGATTTTTCGCTGGCCGATACTACGTCCGAGCAAAAAGAGTTGCAGCAAGACATTGGAGCTATTGGGGCCGCAGCACAGCAGAATCTTGGAGCTAACGATAACGATACCGATACTTTTCAGGGATTAAATATATCTTTTGATATGGTTTTCAAAAAATATATCTCCAATATGACACATCACTACTTGGAGATGGGAGAATGTCGATAGATGTCTTATCGCGTTATCGAGGGCAGTCCATCGCAATGATCAGCTGTTTGCAGTCAAAACAAAAACAAAGACGATGCGAAATTAAAGGAAATCAATAAAGATGTTTCTGGTGAGCGAAAACCAATGAAAAAGTGCTATTTGAAATTCTTAATGTGGCTATCCTTGCGCTCAGTTTATCAGCCGTCCCATGGGGACGCTGGGCAATCGCATGCAGACGATTCGCGAGCGTCTCGGCGAGGATGTGACTGCCAGACTGGATGCCCTCCATCTGAATGCCCTGAGGACAGGGCTGGTGTCCGAGGAAGATTTGCAGGAGGCTTATCGCAAGACCCGCGACATAAATCTCAATCCCAATCGCCTGAATCACCTGTGGCTCATGGGCATCATATTCTTCATAATGGTGGCCACGCCGGTCTTCTACGAGACCATATCCTTTCTGCTCGGCGTGCGCTGTTTCCTGCCGAACAATTACCTGGTGTGGGAGGCCACGCGACCCATCAGCGACTGTGCGTTCTGCAAGGGCGTGCGAGGTCCTCTGATACTGGCGAATCTGACGCGCGAGGAGTTTGCCCCCCATGCATACTCCTCCCTGCCGATTATTGTAAAGAGGGCTGTGTCCCATTGGCCGGCCCAGAAGAGTCTGAGCTTTGGCTACATCAGGGATCTGTATGACAGTGTGCCCGGCTCCATAGAATCCGTGTGCCAATTCCAGCACTTCAACTCGGACTTGAAATCCCTCAAGGAAATCTTTGAGATGCCATTGGGTCGGTCCAATCTCAGCCATGGAGCCCCTTGGTTTGTGGGCTGGAGTGTCTGCCATCCTACAGTGCTCGCGGAGCTAAGGAAACTCTATCCGCGTCCACACTTCCTGCCCGAAGATGCCGAAATGCCGCACACGGACTTCATTTTGATGGGCTACGAACAGGGCGCTGTGATGCATGTAAGCAAAGTCATTTGACTATGCACCGATAGATTCCGCATTAATTTCCTATGTTTGCTGTTAGCTGGAGTACATACCACGGCTGATGTGGCAAGCGCAGCTGAGGGGCAACAAGAGCTGGTACTTGGCTCCAGCTCCCGAATGCGACCATCAGTGTCAGCCCTTTTCCTTCTATGTGGAGCCGGGAGATGCTGTTCTGGTGGATACACGCATCTGGTATCATGCCAATACCATACCAAAGGGTCAGTTCTCGCTCACAGTTCAGTCCGAGTACGGGTGACACTCCCAGTCCCCGGTCCCCTCCCCCATCGAAAGTCTGAAATTTTTCATTTAATAAAAAATTATAAATTTAAATTCAAACGTCTTCCCCATGTTCAATAACGATTAACGATAGGTGGCTATCGGCAGAGTTGCAACCAGTGCGGCGCAAGACATTTCAAAAGAAAACACGCAAAACATACGAAAATTTAATGGAAAAAAATGGAAGCCAATCAGATCGACTTTGACCAGTTTTGCGCCAAGTTAAAGAACGAGAAATATGTGAAACATGTGAAGAGCTTGAAGGATCTGTGCGTTACCAAGACGGTGATGAAGCCCACGGCGTTCTTCGAGAGTCTACCGAAAATGCTGCAGGAAGAGGCTTCGAAAACAACACCAAACAAGGAGCTGGGCTCGGTGGCCGACTATGCGGAGCTCTTCAGGTCGCTTGAAGAGTATCCCTGTAACCTGCAGAAGAACCCCAAAAAGCGAGAGCTGCAGCGCGCTGCTACCTTGGATCAGACGGAACAGTCCGAGTACATGAAGCGCTTGGAGGATCAGCGCAGTGCCGTCGAGGTGTACAACGAGTTCAAGGGCTTCCAAAGGAAGCTGGCCAAGGCATTCGAGGAGGCAGTCGACCTTGAGCAGGCCGAGACCGTGTATATAAAAAAGCTTGGGCAGCTGCAAACCTTCGCCCAGCAGATAGAAAAGCTAATGCCAACGGAGGCCGAGCCACCGCCGGATGCATTCACAGCAGACGAAGAGCAAACGCTGCTGGCGATCGCCGCAAGCATGAGGGATTTGAACTACTTGCGCTCCAACAGTCTACAGCTGCCGAGTCCCAGCGATATTGTGGCTGGCGGCAGCCTGGTGGCGCGTCTGGAGATGTTCGTAAAAGTCCTCACCGGCACTCTGATGCAAATAAGCGTCTACAATGCGGCTTGAAATACATTATTTATTATTATTTAACTATTTTACAATAAATACTACGGCGAGTCCTGATCCTCTGCCTCGAGTTCCTCCTGGTGGGCCTTCATTTGGTGGACAGTGTCGCACAGGGCCACCAGCTTGCGCACAGTACTGCCCAAGTGCTCGACGCGCTGACTGAAAGCCAGACAGCCATCCAAGTAGCTGCCCTTGTCCTCCCGCTCGACGCTGTTCTGCTGCTTCAGCTGATTAAAGCCCTCCAATATCTTAAACAGCGCCAGCTTACAGTCCGGCTTCACGTTGTACACCTTTTGATCCGCCGGCGCAGCTGTGGTGGGTGCCAGGGCTTTGTTTTGCGACTCGATATGGATCAGGGTGTTGTTCGACTTCTCCATGATATCGTCAATGGTGGCCGCCTGTCTTTGCATGGTCTGGCGATTGGCCACTGCAATGGAATACAATTTACAATGATCCAAAGTACGTTCTGTTTATTATTTACCCAGTCCCGCCAACAATTCGTCCACAGCGTCAGACATATTTCTTTTTTTTTTTTTTTTTTGATTAAATCATCGCATGGATGACAAGGGTTTGATCGCAGCTGTGTTGCCACATTGATCAGGTACTGGTGTGTGATTTATTGTCCGATTATTCAGTTTCGGACGCTTGATGGGCCCAAGGTGTGTCTCCAGAATATGTGTTTAGTGTTTAGTCAGACATATTTCGAATTGCTTTTGTTTCGTCCGCTGAGTTGCATTTGCTGCGGTGATCGGTGTGCTTCGACATGCACTACCTATCGAAAGTAGTTATCGCATTTGAATTGACTCTAATTGACTCTTGACCCTTCCCCACCCATTTTGATGTTTCACATGGAAAATATTAATTTACATTTGGTTTTATTCAGTTGTTCAAATTGTATTTGACCTCTCCTCGATTTAAAATTAAAGTGTAATCTGTCTCATGGTTTGCATTACAATTATTACATTTTATTCATAGACATCCTCCTTGTCGGCGACGTACTTAATAATGTCGCCAGGTTTAAGCAGCTTCTCGGCATCGGAATCTGGGATCTCGAATCCAAACTCATCTTCCATGGCCATAATGACCTCCACATGGTCCAAAGAGTCCAGGCCCAGGTCATTGATGAAATGGGACTCGACGTTCAACTGCCAAAAACGAAAAGGAGAAGAAACAACGCATTAGTAAAGGATTTTGCATCAAAGTTGTTTGTGGTTTAATTTCAGTTCTTTTTTGTATTTTTTGGCCATAAATCAACTGGCAAAGGCAATGTGTGGCATTTGTCTTGATCTTCGTTACCTTGCTGGGATCGATCTTGTCGTACAGCTTCAGCACAAGCAAGACGCGCTCATTGATGAGCTTCAGCGACAATGGCGGTTTCGCCGAGTATCTGCGCACCGATTGCGTTTGCCAGCGACATCTGCTCGAGACCAACTCCTGGGTAGGGAGATAAGAACGAAACACACAACCGAGTTAGTGGATCCTTGAACGGACTGTAGATTACCTTATCGGCCGTCACTTTGTCGTAGGCGGACACGACTTTCAGCACACGAAATTTGATGTCCTCAATGGTGCGCTTGGCGGAATAGCTACGCAATGCGAATTTCTGTAAAAATTTATAATTAAATTTATTATGTTTCGAGCCCCCCCCACCCACCAATGCACACGCACACAGATGCAGACCGGTGATTGTGCGTGTGCGTGTGCATGTGTGCAATAATCATGTTTTAATGCAAAACAATGTCATGCAATCATTTGGCTTGGGTCCCCGGAATCACATGTTCACATCCTACAACCCAAGACACCTTTTCCGAGCTTGCATGCCCGCAATCAGCGCCGACGAGGTGCATTTACAATGAGGTTAGGTACAAATCGATATAACTTGATGGTGCACTGGGGACTTCCACCGTTGGTTATTCTTACCTGGCTAACCTGATTGGCCACGGCCGGCACGGCAATCCTGTGCATCATCCTGGCCGCCTGGGACTGGATCACGGCGCTGCTGGCGCCCATCCGCTTGGTGCCCAGTGTCGCTGCCAGTCGACCGCAATTACGCGCGATTTGTGTGAACGACATTGTGGTTCTCCTGCAACAGAAATGGATGGATTAAATGCGGTTCTTGCACGGCACTGCGCCAGTGAACTAAAACAATTAGTGGACAATATTTACACGGATTTTTCAAGATTATGTAAAAGTTGTTCTGGAGCAAAGTGAAATAGGGATGTGACATATGTGCTATGTCAAGATATCGATATATATCTTCTGTTGATTATACAGCTGTGAGCGATATTTTTTTAGATGGGCATCGGTAGTTTTGTGCGATAGGCGCAATTCATCATCGCTGCATATTTTGAAACTGATTCGATAACGATAGTTTGTTGGGGGGACTTTTGAAAAGCACTCGGAAAAACAAGCAACTAAGCCACGTATGCAATTACGCATTCATATGTATATTTATAGTATCTTTTTATGTAAGCAATATACATTTAGTCGGAACATATAAGAATATAAAATTCAAATTAACAAAAATACACAAGTACACAGTATAAATTACACGAAGAATATAACAAAACAATCAAATCGTCTTCCCATTGATTTAAAGCCACGTTTCTGTAGAATGTCATACATAGTAAATTCCTTATGCTGTATTGATCTGCAATGGAAATTGAGTTTAGGAATTGTTGAAATGGGAGGGGGGGCTGTAAGTGCACTTACAACAACAAGCTTTTTATTATCAAGCAAAACACCAGCCTCGGCGCCCGTTTGGAACTCAATGACACCGCTCTTCCCCTTGACTTTATTGTGCTCCAATCTGAAAAGGAGAGAATGTACAACAATTAATTCCCGCATTTGAATTTCCTCTTTTTTTGCTTGTTTGACAACTTACGAGTCCCTGTCCACAATGGAAACAATTTGGGCCGTGCCCACAGTATCAATGATGTACGTGCAGAACTCGATGATGCGGGGAATGATCAGGATCAGATCGCCCTTGTCCTTCTTGAGGTCAAGGGGAATGCGTATGACCATCAGGTCGTCGTTGTGGTTCGTCAGCGTAAAGTCAATCTTGTCGAGCGGCAGGCGATGCTTCTGCTTGTACGTCTTCCCATCGAGCACATACACCGCCTTGTTGCTCAGCAGAATGAAGCGTTCGCGCGACTTGTAGCCGTGTCGATCGAATTTCGTGCAGAAGGACTGATACTTGAGCTGTTCGCTGCCAAAAGTGCTGGCCACAAAGTCATTCACACGCTGAATGTGCTCCTTGGGTATGCGATCCTCCTGGAACCAGGTGGCGACGCTCGTCGCATAATTATTTTTCTTTCCCTTGAACACCTTTTCGGCGAGAACCTTCAGCTCGAACTGACGCTTGCGCTGCGGCGTCAGCGCCAGGCGGTAGATGCGCGCCAAGTGGAGGCGGTGCAGACGGTGCAGATACTCGGAGGCCTCCTGGCAGTGGGCCGGTGCCGAGGGCCAGCTCTTGTCCAGCACCTTTTTGGGCAGCTCCTTGGACAGCCGCAGCAGCCACATGCGCTTCGCATTGGCAATGAAGTCCTCGTTGACGCCATTCGGCGGATCATTGCGAGTGATGAAGCCCTTGATGAAGGCCCTTATCTTGTCCGCTGCCTCGCGACGCTGCTTGGCCGCCTGCTGGGCCAGACGCCGGCGGCAATAGCTCTGCAGTACAATGACCTGTTCGCGCAACTTCAGGTACTTGCGCCGCTGCACCAGACCCTTCCAGTGGGCCTGAATGATGGCCGCAATGTCGTGCTTCTTCGCCTGATACGCATCCTCCGTGTCGAAGAGAGTGCGTGGCCAGCGAATGAAGAGCTTCGTCTCCCCCATCCTGTACTGTTCGTTGTCATAGCCCAGATCCTTGACCAGCTGCTGGACACCGGCCTTGGGGCCACCGGATCCCTTATAATTCGGCCACGTGGATTTGCTGAGGCACTTGTAGCGCTCCAGGAACAGATCGTAGGCACGGCGATAGGCAAAGCCAGCGCGACGCACGCGCAGGTTCTCCATGAGGCCCAGATACTTGACCTGATGCAGGACCAGCTCATCGTTGAACACGCCGGGGGACTGAAGGTCGTTCGGCTTGATGCAGCGAATGTAGGAGGGCTCCTTGCACATCAGGATGTCCATCAGGTTGTTCAGCGATGTACGGAACTGCGTGATGGCCGTCTCGGGGCGCTTCTTGCTGCGCAGCTCCTGCTCGGGGAAGCACGAGCGCACAATCTGGTTGCCCGCCTTGCTCAGTGTCTCCTTGAGATCGCGGAACAGCAGATCGTTGTTCTTGTCCAGGAACCCAATGACACTGTACGTCACCTCGCCGGCATAGTGCACCAGACGGAATTCGTCGCGCAGCATGATCTTCTGGATGTGTGTGGGCGCCTTCTCGTGGCACACATAATGGTGGTGCTCCGACAGTTTGGTCGTCAGCTTCTGCAGGAACGTGATATCTGTGGGTTCGCCGGGCCGCAGGCACTCCTCGTCCAGTATGGAAATGATGCCCTTGTGCTTCTCCTCGATCAGATTGCAGATCACCTTGTTGTCGAAATACTCGACGGGTATCCACTCGATGCCCTCGCGCCGGTACTCATCCTGTTCGGACTTCAGCGTGAGTTCAATGAACAACTGCTGCAGCTTCTCGTTGCAAAAGTTAATGCAGAACTGCTCAAAGTTGTTCTTGTTGAAGATCTCAAAGCCATAAATGTCCAGGATGCCCATGACATTGTTCCTGGCGCCGCGCGTTTCCTTTGCCTGCAGCGAGATGTTCAGCCGCTGCACCAGCCACGAGAACAAGCGATCGTATACAGCCTTGGCCAGGGCATCCTTGGCATAGACGGCCAGTTCATGGTTCAATGGCGACGTCACCACATCCCCACGGGCATCGATGGTGCGATGCGTCAGAGCGGCACTCAATTCGCTGGCATTAACGCCCAGCAGGCGTGCCACAGTGACCACCAGATCGCGACTAACGACCTGGGCATTGCCCTCGATCTCCTCAAAGTTGACATTACCCAAATGCAAAATGCTGGCCACAATGCCAAAGATCTCGCGCTGCTCGTCGCCGCTGAAATCGATCACACTCAATGCCTGTTGCACCTGCTTGAAGTTCTGGGAATCATTGATGCTCGACAGGTTTCCCTTCAGCTGACAAAACAGAAAGAAAGAAAGGGGGAGAGAGAGAGAAATGGGATTGTTAAGGACTATGCACCGCTTGGCTGGATATTGTTTACTTACCCCATCGCTGAGGTAGTTGTAGCTATCGAGAGCCCTCTCCAGGCGCAGTTCTTGGAGCAACGCATCATCACCGCCGGCCAGCAGCTGGTAGAAAATGTGGAAATTGCGCTCGCCTCCCATCTGGGCCACCACGCGGGACTTCTCTAGCAGATAGTTCAAGATGTTGCCACCAATGGGGGCGCCCTTGAAGTCGAATTGGATGTCCATGTACTTGCCAAAGCGCGAGGAGTTGTCGTTGCGATTGGTTTTGGCATTGCCGAAGGCCTCCAGCACGGGATTGCTCTTCAGCAGTTTGTCCTTCACACCCTCGACGGTTGTCTGGTGGCCGGAGCAGGCAGCAATGTACTGCAGCACCTTCTTGGAGGCCTCCGTCTTGCCCGAACCACTCTCACCCGAGATGAGCACGCACTGGCCGCTATTCTCCTCGATCAGAGAACGGAACGCATTGTCTGTCACAGCGAAACTGTGGAGGGAGGGGATATCCAGAGAATGAGTGGGGGGTATGCGATTAGATGACTGGCTGGAGGGGCTTACACATGTGGCGGCATCTCATAGAAGTGCTTGTTCTTGTACTCCTTGATGTGGGCATCGGAGTAGATGGGCAGCTGCTTGTAGGGATTCACAGAGATCAGCACCTGGCCAATGTACGTCTGCAAGAGGAAAGCACATGCACAGCGATTAGAATACGTGGGAAAATGATTGGCTAGACAGAGGCTTACACAGCTCCAGCATCCTGACTAATTAATTTATAGAGTAAAGTTTGGATCGAATGCATTTTAGAGACAGAAAGACAGAGACACAAAAACAAACACACAGAGAGAGAGCAGAAACAGAGTGGCAAAGGTACTACAAGTGGTTTATATGGTACTCACATAGATGAGGTTCTCCTGGAAACGCTTCTTCAGATTGTCAATGAAGGCCTCTTCGCTCTGGTAGTTTTCGAGCAGCACAAAGTCCTGGACGCCAGCACGATCGCGCTCATGCAAACCCGTCTCCATATTGGGCAGAGTTGTGGGACTGAAATATATAGACAGAGATATCAAAATGTGTGCAAAGGGGACCAGAAGAAAAAGATTATAATAATAGGAGGCAGCAGGAGCAGCAGCAGCCCGTCATGCATGAAAATTAAATAAAGAAAAGTATGTGGATTTCCACTTTCTTCTTGTAGATTTCCATGCACATCTCTATGGGTAAAAGATCTTGAGACTATTTCGTTTTCGTTTGCTTGGTGAAGTTCTTGCGACTCTTTAGAGGTCAACGTCTACCATAATCTATTCCCCATAATATGCCCACAAATAATATGCCTTGGAGAGATCACATGCACCAGGATTCCTGAGAAAAATTACGTGATTACCGATTACCTGCAGACTGTTGCCACAGAAAGCACTCGCTTCGCTTCGCTTCTTTCGCTATCTTTTCGAACCCTAATCTGCCAAAAGGGTTGTCGGGCGTTGATTATGGCCGAAGAAAAGCCCCAACAAACGATCGATAAGATTCACTTGAAAGTGGATCGACAAGAGCTCTACGGAAATGCCAGCTTTAGCGGAAAATCAGCCAATGAATGGAGTTACGGTTGAGGCTGAAATTCAATTTGGTATTGCAATAAACAATAAACTATTGCCAGAATGTGGCACAGTTCAATAATGTTTTATCTTTCGATTAGAACGCAGACAAAATCCAATGCAATCTTTGGGTATTTATAGAGAGGTATTTGCTGGCTAATGATGGGGAATGTGTGGCGGGAGCGGGAGCGGGAGGGGCAGGTGCAATTGCGGGACCTTATCAATGCCATAATTCATAAAGCAGAGAGAGCGAGAGAGAGAATTAGCTTTATTGGAACGACGATACAGCGGCGCGAAGGCGGGGGTAAATCCATAAAAAAGACGATTACGCAATGGCCCAAAGAACTTTGGGGATTGGGATTGCAGGAGGCCACCTGCAGCAGGTGCCATAAGACCAGCAGAAGTGCCGAAGCACTCGATGGGGCAAAGCACTCCAAAGTTTTCAATCAATTTGTCAAGTGACTGGACTCAGGGCAGACAGGAAATCACACACACACACACACACACACTGGAATAGGTGTCCTCTTTTCGTCTACCTGGCCATGATTGAATTGATGATAATCCTTGTTAGTTCTTGTGGATCTTTGGCGTTTCACTTTCGACACTTTCAAGAGATCAGATCGTCCAGAGGCAGATTTCGCGCATATTCCGCCTATTGACGACGGCGGCAAACTAAACCGATCCGCTGCCAGTTGAAGCGTTTTAACCATCAATACATTCTGCTCTACATATCAATTGGCCTCGTCGTTGAGTCGTTCTGTCGTTCTGTCGTTCTGTCACTGTCGGCACATTTATCAACGATAATATAACTCTGGAGAACCTCTCTAGAGGAGGAGGAGGCGACAGAGAGAGAGAGAGCACTGGCATTGCCATTGCCTCCAATCAGTTGCCGATTAGATAGTGCCTTTTGCTTTCGCAAAACAGCAAACCAAAACTACGGGCATGACTTAGGCGTAGAGTCATCCATCCAATACAATCCACCAAGCAGCACTCCGTGCAAAATGTGTGTGCGTCTGCTTTGGCTGTCTAAATATATACAGAAGATATATGTATATCCAAGAGCATGATGTCATTTATCGTACTTCAATCCTGAGTCAAAGATTGAATGACTTTCAATGAATAAATAATGTGAATCATATCAAATAAGAGACAAATAAATGTATTTTATTTTTAACACCTAATGAAATTAATCATGTTTTGGTGATTATATGAAGTAAAATGCCCAAGCTAAGCCACAATGGAATAGAGAGAGCGAGAGAGGGAGCTAATAGGAGATTGCGAGAGAGCTACGCCGGAAAGCTTTTGTTCTGCATTCCGGACTCTAATCATAATCCGATCGATACGATTATTTAGTATCAAGTAGATAAGATCATTATATACTCGTATGATTCGATTTCTCCTCTAGCACCAACTAACTCTGAAATCCAGGCGTCGTGGCTAAATATTATTTATGGATGCGTAAAGGCTCTAATCTTCAGACTTTAGAAAAAAAAATGAAACACATTTACACCTTTCCTACTTCCCAAAAGAGTATTGGAGCATCATTATGCATTGCTTTTGTTTCGAAAATCAACATTTGAGAAGACGCTGATAGCAGCATGAGAGACAGAGACAGAGAGAGAGAGAGATTCTGAGTCAGAGAGATTTCGGTTGCAGCGGAGAATCGACAGCATTTAGCGCGCCTTCGTTATCAGTTATCAGGGCGCTAAATAAGTCATTGCTAAACACGAGTACAATGCTCAAACAGTTGTACGAGCGAGTAGGCAGGCATTCAGTTTAACCATTGGACTGCCCATTCTTGGGTTCGAAACAAAGCGAATGCCTCGATAATTACGCGCAGTGTTTGTTTGTCGATGCATCGCAGAAGAATTCCTGGGAATTTCTCCTCAAGACAGGCGGCAAACATGAGTTGAGTTGAGTTGCGTCATGTGCCTGTCCGTGTCCCTGGATTCAATTTGAGCCATTAGCCACAGGGGAAGCCTTGCTTTAGCTGATGTTTGTCACATAATTAGTTAATTGCACGTAGAATCGAAGGAATGCCACATGATACATAAACACTCTAGACTAGACACTCTACATAACGTATATATGATTTGTGTTGTGTGTGTTTCTGTTTGTAATTTGCTCACCTCAAAACTAATTGAAAGTCGCCTGAGATTATGCTACAGCTGGGGTTATTCTAGGAATTGCTTTCTGCTATCAACAAGTGGAAAATGTTTCACCAGGCGACCATTTAGACGCCATAGTTACTCATTATATGCAGTAGTTTGGCGAGCTTTGCACTTGCAATCTGATATGCAGGCCTTAAAGATTGCATTTAATATTAAAAGTATTTCTTTAAAGTGTTTATCGATCATTAGAGTCCAAACATTGGGAACTTTATCACTAGAAGGTACCAAAAAAGAGCACAATGTTTTGTTTCTGCTTTCACACAGGTGCCTGCGAGTACTGAGAGATTGTTTGAGTTATTGTCTGCCCACAAATATACCCTGAAACAGAGTGTACACACTCTAGAGTATCGAAAAGTCATTGACTTTCTCTGTGGACTCTAAAGTAAAGGCATTCATTTCATTCGTTTGATCTTCAAAAGGTGGAGTGGAGAGTGGAGAAACCAGTTTCCGCTGCGCCACTCCCACTCCCACTGCGTGTATGATGTAATAGAGAACCGAGAAAGAGTTCTCTCCTACTCGAAATGCCATAAAAATGTCCGAAACGGAACCCCAAAAGTGGGTTCCACAAAACCCACAAAAATGCTTGTAAAATAGTTTGTAGGTTTATGCATATAAATGACGTCATATATCAAGAGAAAAAGAGATTATGTACATTCCGAGATGGGATATTGGGGGATATTGAACCCTTTTTTGTATGGGCATCGAAGACACACAACTCGAAAGAGATTTGTATGCAAATGAATGGCGTGGAGTTCTCTTGCTCGTTGAAAGCGATTCGAAATTTGGGGCACAGTCTATATCAATGGATGTTGCATTAGATGCGAGAATTATTCTAATGAGAAAACCGGAGAACAAGATCCCAGATAATCGCCCGTTAGAAGATGCTTCTTTGGTGCATTCGAAAGGGCTATAAATACGGAGTGCAGGTGCATTTGGAGAACATTCCCTCGATGATCATGGATCCACGAGTATCGGCATTGTGGTTGGGTAAGTCTTTCAGTCGCTGGACGGGTCCTTCGGAGAAGTTCACTAACTCTGCCCGGATCTGCCCGGATATTTTTGCAGTTCTCCTCTCGCTGTTGGGTGGCGCCCTGTCCTTCCAGGACAAGGCCCCAGTGCAGACGAGCCTCGTGACAGGCCAGGCACGCAATGACAAGCAGCAGCAGATCCTCGACGACACCCTGGGCACGTCCTCGGGCCGCGGCATCGACGATCACCTGCTGAAGACTATCGGTAAGGGTGGGATCAAATTGGTCATGGCTGGAGGCTCGTCTACGACCACACCCAAACCGTCAGTACAACATCATTACTATTATCCACCAGAGGAGCAGCAGCAGCCGCGTCAGTACGGCTACGGTCCGCCACCCGCGTACTCCCCCTGGCTGCATGCCCCACATCCGCCACGGCCGCAGCTTCCACCGTGGGGGCCACCACCAGGACCACCGCCGCCACAGCCCCCATACTACGGTGGATATCCATCCTATCCAGGCTGGGGTGGCGGCTATCAGGGCGGCTATCCCGGCTGGGGCGGTGGTGGCTACCCAGGCTATCCAGGCTATGGCTATCCCAGCTATCCCGGCTATCCCTACTATCCGTTCTATCGCTCGGCAGGCGCCACGGAGGTGGACAACCAAGTGCCCGGTGGCCCCGAACTGCCGCCCTCCCCCCATCCAGGCGTCTTTCAGGGCCGACAAGTGCTCACCCAAAATTATCTCGAGGGCAGGGCCAACGCTGCCAACATTGTGCCGCTCTATCATCTGCTGCAAATGTCCAGAGCTTAAGGTTTTTCAATAAAAATATGTGCGAGAACTTCACGAGAAAACAAAAGAGTGTTTCCCTGCGGAAAGAATCAACGTGCAACTGCAGAAAAGATCTTTGATCACCGAGGGGCACTGCTGCATGATGCGTGCATGCGAGAATTGAGATTTCATTGAAGATCTCTTTCGGGAAAGAACTCAAGAATCTACTCCTCTAAAGTATTCCGTGGAAGGATTCTATTAGGACTGAAAGTTGGTTTAACATATAGAAATGAGATTGAATTATATTTTACCGGAACATAATGCTGAGAATAGCATTGGTAATTCCATTCAAAAAGGGTCTTCTATCAGATTTCAGTTCAAAAATTATAAATAATTTCACTAAAAATGTTTTTTCTTTCAGATTTCAATGCAGATCTATTTCAGGTAAGTTCTACAAATTCTGAAGAGATACATAAGTGGTTTGTATGGCTCTATGGATCATGAATAGAACACTAAAAAAAATCTGCAAAGAATTCTTTGCTCCAGAACCCCAAAACCTGAAAGGCCGCTGACCTACACCATCGATAATCGAGTTTGTTCCATAATTAAGATTCAAAAAATAATTCGCGAATTTCTCGAGGCAAAACTCTGCCGCTGACTCATTCGCGCTCCATCGCGGTGGCACGGGGCACGGGGCACGGGGCACGGGGCACGTATCGCGGAGGGAGCCACAGATGTGACGCATGGCAAGTGGTCTCTCGGATAACCATTAAGCATTAAACAAGCACCAAAGCACACATTTATTTGCTAATTTTTTTTTTTCGTTGTTTTCCCAGCGCAATGCCCGGCCATAAAAAGCGTCAACACCAAAAGCAGCAGGCGAGTGAAGTGATCTTGAACGCGGCTTTAATGCCAATTGCAATAAGTATCTACAGCTGAAAGCGATGCCAAAAAAGTAAAAAGAGTCGCATTTTTTACCTCTTTATTTTTTTTATTACACGAACCAGACTCTTTTTGTTTCCACGAAAAGCCCTTAGGTTGACACTTTACCGCGCGATGAACTTCAATTTGGAGTGAAAATTCGAGTCTTGGTCGAGTAGCCGGTCTGCCGGTTTTCGGTTTTAAGTTTTCGATGTTGTAATTGTGGATCCCCAAGCACACGATCCGATACGATTCCCAACGCGACGACGCTCACTCCACTGTGGCTATCTTGCAAATGTCCAAAGAAATGAAATTAAATGGAAAATGGAATTGTGGAGCCCGCCCCATTCTGCTGGGGCTCGCATCAATCGAATCGAAGTTATATGACAAATGTGGGGGATTTTTTGTTTGTTTGTTTGTTTGTTATTTATTTGCGGTTGATAGTGTGTGGGGCATATGGCATGGTGCCATGCATGGCGGGGCAAGAGTGGGGATACATTGTGGTTTATAGATTGACGATAGGCGATAGGGGGGATCAGTATTATCATAAGGAAATGTGGGAACTTACATATGTATATAGTGGATTAATTAGAAATTATTCCATTTGTGAGATTTATACATTTTCAGGGCTTTTAAAGAAGATACGCCACGGGGAGATTGGAAAGATTTGTGCAATAAAATATCAATGGGTAATGATAGTTGAATGATTTTTTTGTCATGTGTAGATCGCTATATAAAGCCATCTGTTTCATCTCTAGATCCATAATATACTCAATTATTTGCTACACATCATTGGAGGATCCAGCACGATAGATTCCGTGCCACAGGGTATATCATTTGTCTGGCATCTGTTGTCCATCAATCACGATTTCTGCAAGTCTTTCATTGTGTAAAAAAAAAACCTTTATGCTTCACCTGTTTTATGGACAGTCGTTTACTTGAAGAGGTCTTGGCATTTCCCCTTAATTTTCATTATCTTATCGAACTCTAGACTAAGAGGGAAATAAAAATGCAACTGTTGCTAAACGGGAAACCAAAACCCCACTATGAAGCACCCTATAAAAGGAGGAGGTAACATCATCGATTGTCATATCACTAAAAAGTGTGTGTTGAACCCCGTCGAAAGTGATAACACCACTCCGATATCAATAAACATACCACCGATCACAGATAAGACAAAAGTTCAAGCTTGTTTAAGTAATATTTTTGGGGTGCGGTATGTAGATGGTTTCTTTGAGATTTCCGTGCTTTTTTGAGGGGGGAGAGAGGAGGAACAAACTCGATGATGAATCGCAATTACCAGAGTCAAAATGCGTGCAATGTTTTCTGCTTCTGCTTCTGTTTCTGTTGCTGTTCCGTTGCCCTTCTCTTGCGCTGTTTGTTCTTTTGGGGTCTTTTGTTTTTACTTTGTCTTCTGTTTTGTTTGGTTTGTTAGGAAATTACATCATTAACAAAACAGAAATCATTTGCGGAGTCTCTTAACTCGTTAACTTTTAATTCCATATGCCATGATAATGCTGGTTTGGTGGGGGGGTAACGCTTTGCTTGCACAGCTGTGCAGCAGATTTTGGCGAATCATTTTGTTGGGTGGTAGTGGGCGGTGGGTGTTGGGTGTTGGGTGCTAGTGCGTGCCTTGACTTGACTTGGCGATCAATTGCACTGGCAGTTCGGAGTCTTTTAAGCTGCTTATTGCCACACACAAATGGAAAAAAAAAAAATGGGTCACACATCGCAAACAACATCTGAGCGCTCAACAGTTTGAAATTGAAATCGAAATTTGATACGATTTCAATTGGTTCCCCCTGCCGTCTTACTGTCTGTCCGATGGTGTGGCTGGGAAGGTCGGTCAATATTTCCATCCACATCCACTGGAATAATGATTACTCATAGCACAAACACAGGAGGAGGACTTATACCCGCCCATACCCTACTTATGGAGAGATAGACACTGTTGACCCTCTTTGTGTGCGGCTTTTTGTTTGTTCCTGCTATAAAACCTAGACAAACAAACTTGCCACAAAGGAAAGAAAGTGGGAGAGTAGAGTGATTGGTGCCACACAAGGAAACGAAATCATCCCAAGAGGTAGGTCAAGGTGTATTTAAAAAGAAGGTGAGGCAAAAACGATCCACTTTTTCCACACATAAAAGTGTGTGCGGGGAGGCTGACAGCGCTCCTCCAGTGCCTTCCATTCAAGAGATAACATATGAGGAGAGGAATGCTGTCACATTTGACAGGAGAGGAGAGCGAGCGAGAGAGCTTGGGAAGAGGGAAGGCTCTCATTGCCTATACCCCAAGTCAGGTGAGTGCGAAATCAAGCAGAAGAAAGGAGCAAGAGAGATGCCCAGCATAGGTGCCATACCCTACCATTCAATATACACTGAGTGTGTGCAGGTGAGTGCGAAAAGGAAGCTTCCAGCCAGGAAGCGAATGTGCGTGTGAGACTCATAGTAAACCAGAGAGAGATAGAGATAGAGAGAGAAATTGGACTGCACCATGGGGTTCGTGGGGTATGGGGGCATGGGGTGTCTGGTGTGTGGGTCTTCTTCATCAGCGTAAAACGTTCGCTTTATTATCAAAGCATAAACCAGATTTGTACTCCTCTTTGTTTGTTGGTGTCGCAAGTTCAAATCGTGCAAAGGAAGAAGAAAGAAAGCAGGCAACGGGCAACGGAAGACGCTGCAGATCACGACCAGCGACAGCCAACGACGAGATCAACCAGGGGGCAAACCGGCAGAACCGCTTTTTTTGTATATTTATTTTTACTTTTATCTTATTTTATTTCACGTTCCCCCTGGTGCCATCGAGGCTCGGCTCGGCTCCTACCATAAATATACTCGTACCGTACTCTCGTATCTTGTTAGGTGGTGCCGCACTACCACATATTTGCTAGTCGTCAGGATATGCAAAAATTGTCGAGTGTAATTGATTTTATGGCCCCAATTTTGAGTCATCATCAAGTGGGCAGCTTGTCAGCCAGCGGCCAGCGGCATGTGGCATGCGGAGGGGACATGCATTGCATGGCCATGGCAGTAGCGGCGGGCATGGATTAAGAAGTTGGCCAAACAGACGACACATTTGATAAATGAAAGCAAATGAGCGCTGCAGTGGCAGACGCAGAGGCAGTGGTGTGGCTGGTACGCTAAGTACCCCATAATTTCACCGTCTGTCCCCCAAGTCGTTACCTTTTTCTGTTTTTTTTTTGTTTTTGTACCTGTTTGAATTTCTTTTTCGATGCGGGTACCGTTAGCTTGACCCGGCAATGGCAGCAGCGGCGTCGCGTCGGCGTCAACAACGGCGACACAGCCACAAAAACGATCGCACAACAACAACACTTGCACTGCTTTTGCTGCTGCTAACAACTCGCATAGATATTATTCGAATGTTCGTATTCGCTTATAATGTTAGGCAGCGCACGCTCTCAGCATACAAATGAGTGTCCCCAAAAATGTTCTTAATAATTAAGTCTCGGCGGGGAGGGTGCGCGCTGTCTGCTGAGGCACACGGCAAAGGCGAACGCGACGGCGATAAAGTTAAAGCTTAACTGACGCGAACTCGAAAAACGATTTGCCGCCACATTCACATTTTTCGCACAAACAGCTGTGCGCGGGCTGGCGGCCAGTGTGACCGCGGATTTATCGGTCAAACATACCGCCCGACCCTCAGAATTATACCGAAAAAGATACGAGAAAACTGACAATGTAGAATTATAAAACGGAATAACGGAATATATATTCAGATCGAATCATTATAATAGCCCAGAATGAACAACAAAAATAGCAGTGGTTTGGCTACCCCTTCCCACTTTGTTTTGTCTATCGTTGTCACATGTTTTAAGACATCAATATTCACCGTTTTATTTGTTAACTTTTCTTATTATTTCTATAACAGTTGTGGTATGGATTGATAGCTAGCCTACGAATTAAAGCTATAGACACAACATCACTTAAGTTGATTTGATCTCTGATAAATGTGTGTGGTGTGTGTTTTCCTGTACCTGTACCTTAAATTTCAAAAGTCCAAATCTGGCCATCACCGTTTGATCGGAGGATCAGATCAGATCAAATCAAATCAGACCAGGCTAAATCCCTGGGTTTGCTGAATGGCTTGCAGTAGTTTGAATTTGAGGCGCTCCTTGGTCTTGTATCGTGGCAGATCCAGCAGATTGAAGCATGTATGGGCCACTGGCAGGAAACGTTCATCGGTGGTGGGTTGTATAACGAACTGAAATGATGATAATGCCAATTAAACTTTAAACATTACTGCGATCTCTATGCAATGCACTTACCCTCAGGGCCTTCATACCCTGAATGGGTATGCGATCGCTTCCAGTTAGATAGAGAAGAAAACTTCTCTTTTCCGCTTCGGATAGGTCATGTATTACCTCCCAGAACCATTTGATCTGCAAGCAAATATCAAAATATATATACTCTATTCTTAGTCTTGGGATTTGCTTGGGGATTCCACTCACTGTCTCATCGCCTGAAGAGTAGCCGTCTTTGTACGTGCAATTATCCTCCAGAGCCTGCCAGTCATACTCCTCATTGCCCACCACCACAGCCATCAGTTCCTCCGGCTGGAATACGTTTATGACACGGCCCGAACAGACCTTCATGAAGCCCTTGTGGAAGGCATTGTAATGCACCTCCGACGACTTGTTGATCACAAAGTTCACATAGAGATCCACAAACTCCTGCCTGTTCTCCAGGGTGACGGCAATCTCTTGTCCATTCGGCTTAAGGCTCAAGGTCTCCGTCTCTCCGAAGACATCGCGTGTTATCTCGAAATGCAGATCAAAGGCCTCCGTAAAGTCGTCGCCATCATAGTCGAGCAGCGCCTGCATGGAGTTGGCCTCCGTCGGCGACAGCTGTCGCAGGTCACTCAGATCGACGGGCTTGTTCAACAGCTTCTTGTAGAGGGCCAGGGGAAAGGGCAGATTGATGATTGTAAAATTGTAGATGGCCAAGCCACAGAGGACGCCGATGAGGTAGTACATATTCTCCGTTTCAAAGGTCATGTCCGCGAACCACAGCACACGCGACTCCTCGAACTCCTTGAACATGCCATACTTCGGATCGAGCAGATCCTTGAGCAGCAGCATGAAGAACTCCTTGCGCACGCCGCCAGCGTCCTCGGCCTCCTCGTCCTGAAACTTGATCTTCAGCGGCTTCTTGAGATCACTCTGCGAGTAGTGCTGCAGCTCACGAATGGAGTCCTGCACAAGGTTCTCCCTCGTCACATTCAGCACAATGTAGTGCGAGATGGGCATGCCATAGTTGAGAAGATTGAAAAATGCCTGCTGCGAGGGACGAAAAGAAGGAGAGGAATTAGCAGGAGGAATAGGACAGGGCAGGGCAGAGCAGGGCAGGGCTAAAGCCTCTGTACTCTGTACTCACATTGGTGGCCGCATTGGCCATGGCTGAATGCATTTGGACCACTTGATCGGCTTGGAGCATCGATGTCTTGGCCGACGTATCGAATAGGAATGGAAAATTACAAATGCTAAAGTCGTTCGGGCTGCCCATTATCCATTTGACAAACTCCTGCTTGACATTCGCATACCAGTCGAGTTCGGGCCAATAGAATATCTGATAGCTGACGCGATCCTTACGCGAGTTGTTGATGACGAACAGCTCCTTCATCACCTTCAGAATGACATCCAAATCGGCATTGTATGGCATTAACTAAACGGGGTTGGGGTATAATACAGAATAGAAAACAGCACAGGCAATCGATGGAATAAAATCTCACCCGTTGGGGACCCTCCACGTTTGGACTGATGGGCAGCAGATTCATTTTGAAGCTAACGATGTGCACCACCACATGCAGAAATATGTTAACCACACGCTCGAAATAGTCGACGGGGGTTTGGGCCAACCACTTGTGCAGCACCTTGCTGGCATTCTCCGTCAGCTTCAGCATGGCACTGGCCAGTGGCACCTGCAGCGTCTGGTAGTGCTTGGAGTTCACGAATTCATGGTACAGCGGCAGCAGCAGATACACGCGCAGGCTCTCCACATCCGCTGGTGAGGCCACCAGAGAACCAATCAGCTCTTTTGTTACATTATCCCAGATCTACGGAGGGGGATGCATGAGATAATTCATGGATTCATGGATCTGTTATGGAGATGTACGCACCACCTGCTTGATGCTCTCGTTCTGCACATTCCGTAGATGATCGAATGCCAGCTCGGCCGCCGTCAGATCCAGTCCATAATTACGTGCAGAGCAGCCAAAATGCTGCTCGTTGGAGAGCAGAAACGAGCCATTCAGGCACGCCTGACTCTTGAAGATCAGCTCCATGGACTGCAGCAGATCCAGGTCGCTTTGGTCACTCTGCTTGAAGTGCGCACACTGCTGTGTGGCCTCTGCCGTCAGCGAAAGGATCTGGGATTTGGGTCTGCAAGAAAGCGGAGGAAGAGGAATTCCATTAGTTTTTATGAGCTTCAGAGAAAACTCGGAAGCTCTGTCCCACTTGAACCTGCGCAGATCCTCGGGCGGCACCTTGTTCACATAGAGAGTGGTCGTCACAATCGACTGATCTCCGCCGGAGAAGATATGCTGAATGACCACCGACTCCTTGGCTCCTTCGCTCGATTGCAGCAAAGCGGAGCCACTGGGCGAGACCCAGGGACCGATAACCACCTGTGGCAGCGTCAGACTTTTGGTGGCTCGCGTTCCCAGCTGCCCGGAGCTGCCCAAGCCAAAGCCATACACTCGACCACGAGAGGGCACCAGGGCGAGGGTGTGGCGATTGCCGCAGGCCACCTGAGTGATGGTGCTGCCCATCAGCTCCATTACCATGCGGGGTATCATCTCGTTGGACTTGAAGCCATGGCCCAGCTGGCCGTAGTTGCCAGCTCCGCAGGTGAAGACGCCGCCCTCGTTGGTGAGGAACACGGAATACTCGTCCCCACAGGCCACGAATCTCACGCCCAGGGTGCGCATTGTCTTCAGCTGCGTGGGATACGCACGATTCTCCTCGTCGTTTAGCCCCAGCTGGCCGCAAGTGTTCTTGCCCCAGCCGAACACGGCACTGGACTTGGAGATGAGGAACGAATGGTTGCCCCCACAGGCAATGGTGGCCAATGGGATGCCCAAGACGGTCGCCAGCTTCATGGGGTAATTGCAGTGCGGCAGCTCTTTGGGGGACTGAACGCCCAGTTGGCCATAGATGTTGGAGCCCCAGGAGTAGAGCTCGCCACCTGAAAGAGAGCGACACTTGAGGGGGAATCCTTCAGAGGGGGAGCGGGCGTCTCTGGCTACTTACAGCTCGTGAGTGCCAGACTGTGGTTGTTGCCGCATGCAATCTGCACCACCGTTTTGGACACGAGAAAGCGCAAGACCTTTGGCAGCTCAATGATCTCCTTGTCGGTGGAATGGCCCAGCTGTCCGCAATCGTTGTCGCCCCAGCTGAGGATCTGGCCCCAGTCGGTGAGGGCCATGGAATGGCGACTGCCACAGGCAATCTGGATGACAACATAGTCCTGCAGCTCGGGTATCAGCACTGCAAGAGACCGGAAAAGAACAGTGGAATGGTAGTCATTTGCTGCCTTCACTTCCGAATGATTCACAGTGGGTGTGATAGTGTGATGAAGAGTTTACAAAAAGACAAGACGATATATGAAAATTACATACGAAATGGCGACATACGTGGCCTTTTGGTGGGCAGCTCGTGCCCCAGCTGGTAGTGATCGTTGCTCCCGCAGGCGTACACCTTTCCGTTGGCAGTGAGGAAGAGCGTATGGCGATGGCCGCAGGCAATCTGTTGCACCGCCGAATCGGGCTTCCATAGTATCTTGCTTGGTACAAGGATCTACAGGCAGAAAAACACACACACAGTTAACGGGGGGGTATCAAATGTCGTGGCACATTATATGCATGTCCTTCTGGGCTTGCCACACAACACACCTGCTCATCCTCGATGCCACCGAGTCCCAGTTGGCCGTGCGAGGCGTCGCCCCAGCAATACAGGGACATGGCGCTGCGCTCTTTCCGCCTGTCGCCGTGTCGCAGTGTTTAGGAGAATATTCGAGAATGCGCCCCTAAACGTTGCAATGGACATTTCTTTGTGGAATTCTCACTTTTGTTTCGTTTCGTTGTGTTCTCGTCTTTCGCTGCTACTGCTTCTGCTGCTGCTCTACTCTACACGCCCACGCAGGAGGAGCCCTCTGTTTTTGATGGTTCTCCCCTTTTTTCTGTTCTCTGATTTTGCTTGTGTTTCTGATTGCCTTTTGTTAACCGAAATTCATATTTTGTTGTTGTTCTGTTGTTGTTGTTGTTTTGGCATTTCTAGAAAGAACTAAAACAGAAAGGTATATTTATGAGGGTCGGACCGAATATACCGTACAAAACCATCGATCAGTGTGACCCTAAGAAATATACCGAAAGTATACCGAGGGGCGCCTATTTTAAACATTCGTTTCGTTTATGGAACTTAGCTTAACTAGGATCAGCCATATAAAGCTTTGAAAAAATACAAAAATGGTAGAAAAGTTGAGCTGGCTGTATGTCAGGATAGATATGTCAGGATAGAAGGTTAAAATCAACTGTAGGCACAATAAAATTTGAGCTAAGGCTAGACTAAAATGCCTAGCCCGAAGAGCTTCAAGTGACGGGTAAAAGATTTAAGAGAAATTAATATCGCCTGGATTCATGTTTAATTGTATTAAAAATCTTTCTCTCAAAAGCACTAGCTTAGCCAAGTTGGGATTTGGTTTGTATACTCTTGTGTATCCACCACAGATCTCTTGTAGTAATTCTAGTTATCAAATGAAATGGAATATAATTGGTACAAATTAATGCGATGATCTGAATTTCGGCAGCAGTTTGTATGAATTTACGATGACACTCGAATGTGTTTCATGTCCAAGTCGCAGCACTGGGGCGGGCTCCACTGGCACGCCAAAACAAACGTTCGGATTCGCAATTTGCATTTGCTGTATATCATTAACAACCAAAGCCGCTAATCGAATGACAGCCCAAACGAACTTCTCTTGGCGCCTAGCAAATAATAATATTAACGCTATGCATACCCTAACAATAGAGTGGGGACTATTAAATACGAAAAGAAGCCGGTGGAATCGGTGGGCAGAGAGATGTGCAAGGGTATCTGAACTTCGTTTCAGGGATTTTGCTCTTTGATCTTTGGATAACAATTCATAAATTTATTATGAATTTAAGTCAAGATTAGATAAGAATTGAAGCATTCATTGTGTGCGGAATCTCCATCGGTAAATCTCCATCTGTGATTTGCTAAGAAGAATGCGCGATCACCTGCTGCTGCTGTCTGGCGCTAGCGCTGGCCCGGCCCGCTGATCTCTGTTCGAAAAACAAACAAAAAACAAGCAACACGGTCATTAGGCGAAACAGCAGGGGAATGGAACGTAACGCTCGTAAAACTCGGTCAAATTCATATTCGAAATGCGCGAATTTATTAATAATACGGATCACTAAAGTCTCCAAGATCAAATGTGAACTGTGGCACATCTCCGGTTTATTGTTGTTTTTGTTGTTGTTGTAGTGGTAGGTGTAGGTGTAGGTCAGTGATCGTCCCCAGCTCTGGTATAAAACGGTCTCTCGGCTGTGCTCTCGACATCAGTATCAACTAAAGCCGCGTTCCGCTTGGATTCCCCCACACACTTTTTATTTAGGTTTCACATCAAATACTTCCTCAGCCATGTTCAAGATCGTAAGTATCGTTTAGTGATAAATGATTCGAATGCGATAATAGAGCTAACCAGCGCATATTTCGAACGAACGGATTTATAGGCGCTAATCATTGCCCTCTTCCTGGTGGCCGTCACTGGGGCCGCAGATGAGTCACATGCCACCATCACCAAGTACGAGAATGAGATCAAGAACGATGGCAGCTACAATTGGGAGTACGGCACCTCGAACGGCATTCAGGCCAAGGAGAGCGGTGTGGGCAGTGCCTATGCGGCAGGATCGGTGGCATACACGGCGCCCGATGGACAGAACATTCAGTTGGAGTACACGGCCGACGAGAATGGATATCAGCCGAGGGGCGCACATTTGCCAACGCCGCCACCGACACCCGAGCACATTCTGAAGGCTCTGGCGTACATTGAGGCACATCCGTTCACCAGGATTCAGCTCAGGACTTAGTTGCCTCATTTAATGCTTAGCTCTAATTTAGCACAATTTCCACTGCATACACAAATAAACATTAGATTAACATTAGTGCAGCGCTTGGCTCGTGTGTGTTTTGTTTTCTCTTTATTTTGTTGTAAATCATTGAATAATTGCAACAATTCTGTGATATAATTTAGCGTTCCGATTAAAAGAATTCCTGCTCAGATTAGTTTGCAACTAATTTATGAATAATATTCATGGATTGGATTGGATCATAGAAATAATAGACATAGACACAATTGCCATAGTTCGTTCGATTGGTAGCAGCTCCTTTTTAAGTGCAAAAAAAAAAATAAACCATTATCGAAAAAATGATACATCAAATTGTTCATTTAACGCGTTTTGTTGTGTGTTGTGTGTATGTGTGTATCTTGTATCTCTTAAATCACATCATCATGCCGCATATCCACTACACTCGCTGTGTGTGTTGGTGTTGGTGTTAATATTACCATAATTCATAATTATTATTATTGTTAGCCATATTGTGTATGGTTTTTTGTTGTTGTTTGTTTATATGCTTTTGAAAAGTACAACGTGCACAGTATCTTAGTAGTTTGAATTAGTTCTTAATATGTTTGTTGTTGCTTTGCTTTGCTTTGCTGCTACTGGCTCTCCTCTTACTAATTTCACGCTTTGTGTGTGTGTTTTTTTTTGTTTTTACAATAAGTTAACGTTTATCTTCATATATATGTATATATATATATTTATATATATAGATAGATATATTCTTGCATAGGCAACTGGTTGTTAATTATAATAAGGTTCTCTAATGATTCATTCTGTTAACAGAATAAACATCTCTTGTGGTGTGTGGCAGATTCAGAACGAAATACATTTCGTTAGTCGCCGCTTAAACATGTTTTATTGTTGGATTTGTTTTTTTTTTCTTTTTTAGTTGTGTTTAGGCCGCTTAGCATAATTGTTTAATCGTCAGTTAATCAAGTTGTAGCATTTCCAATTGGTATTTGAATCAATTAAGAATGCCATCATTTTTGAGTAAATTATAAAAAAGAGATAGAAAAATCTAATAGTTACCTTGTTTTGCTTGTTTTAGTTTTCTCTAGTTTTAGTTTTTGCAAAAAGTGCTATTCGCTCAAAAATTATTATATTTTCATGTTTTTTTTGTTTTGTTTTGTTTTGTTTTGTTAGTTATAGATCTTGAATTACATTTAATTATTTAGATGCTTTACTCATCCGCGAACTCACTCACTCACTCTGTCTCTCTCTCCCCCTTTTGGAGAGTACAATCAAGTAAATTTAGTTCCATTACAAATTACTAAAGACATAAATGAACGCTTGCTTAAACATAGGTTCAAGGATACGCGGCGGATAGGAGGCTGTATGGGAGTAGGGTGTAAGGTGTAAGGGTGCGTGTGGGTGGATAACATACATATTGCTTAATAAACATAAACTATAAACTGCCTGTCTATTTGTAAACTTCCAAAAATGTCAAAATGTGCGCGGGTTTGAATAGTTAGTTAGAATACATTTCTCGCGATTGGATGCGTTGTTTTGTGTGTGTGTGTGTTGTGTGTTTTTGAGGATACGTGTGTGTGTGTGTGTGTAGTACAGTTGTGTATGGGGTGTTCATGCCGTTGTTGGCGATGCAGCTGGAGATGAGGCCACATTGGTCAATTTGGGCGGATGCGTGGCATTCACCACACGATTCGTATTGTCCCGCGTCTTCGAGTGCTGCAGCTGCATCAGGTAGTGCTGCTGGGTTGGCTTGTGCAACGCCAGCCGGGACAAGGCATCGTCGATGGTGAACCACTGCCGCTTGCGTCCAATGCTGCGCGAGTCCTCCCACTCCTCCAGCTCCTTGGTGACATTCATGACAAACACTTCAGTCCGATGCATATGATCGTTATTCTGTGTGGTGGCAGACAATAAATCAATTCTATACGAACATCAGTTGCATTTGTATCGAAATTCAAACCTCGAATACGCCTAGACAACGTCCCAGACTGCCAATAACGCCGGCCTCCTCGAGCACCTCGCGTACAGCAGTCACAGAGGGCTCTTCCTCGGGCTCCACGCCCCCGCCAGGGACGATCCAAAGTTCCGGACGCCTCGACGAGGTGACCAAAAGGACCTAAAAAAACGACAGTCAACGACATTTCGAATCGTGATTATAATAGATAGATTGAAAGCTTTACACTCACCTCTGCCTCATTTTCGGCCCGCACACAAATGCAGGCAGCCCGTCGCCTGAAGCCATCCTTGTCGTAGATTCTCGTTGAGTTGGGTTTCTCCTTGACCATCTGAAAGTAGCAGAAGCAGCAGCAAAGAGTTCATGAGTCCCGGTGCACATGGATTGGGATTGGGAATTGATTTAGGGGTCCACCCTGAATCCCCCCTATATATTTCTTCCCATTCCCCAATGTCCGTATGTGCGCTTAAAAATAATTATGGCTGATAAACGCTCGCACCACAAGCTCTCAATATATCATTTTATGGCTGTTGCCTTTAATTTGAATGTGCGCGCACATGAAAATCGTGATTCCGTTCTTATCAGATTTGCGAGATTGTCCCCGGCTAGGCCAATCGGCAAATTGCAGCGCCAGACCACAGAGCTTATCAGTCCCGTCCCGGTCCTAGAACCGGTGCGGGTCTTGGTCACTCTCAGCCAATTCTGCCTGTCATGGAAAGGTACACACACATTTCCAATGGATAACAACACACATTTGCAACTATTTAACAATATCGTGAAATAGTCAGGAAAACGTGTCGGCCATTATCGATGCCTCTTTTAGCGGGAGCCAGTATCAGAATAACGGATCACCAAAAGCGGAATTTAGTAGGGTATTTGCTAGTCGCGCACTCTAGCGCTATCACTTTTCTGGTGGTGCGCCAACATCAGGGAGGGATTGGATTCTCGGGGGCTGCTTACTTTTCCAAGTTGTGTAAGTACGCTGGGGGCAAACGAACGAACGAACGAACGGCAGATGATGACTTCTTAGGCACTTTTAATTCTCCTCCTCCGTTATCTCACTCTCTCTCTCTCTCTCTCTCCGTCTGTATGCTGCTGCAACAAGTGTGTGTGTGTGTGTATATGTGTTTGTTGGAGGCGCGCAGGTGTTGTGTTGTACTGGGGAGCCGGTAGCTGCTGCTGCTGCTGCTGATCTCGTGCCGCCTTCTGCAGGCAGGTGCTTCGCTGTCGCTTCTCGCGCACACAACTCGCGGTAGGGAAAACGGGCAAAAATGCACAAACAAAATATAAACGACGACAATTCTGCGCTCGGACGTCACACAAAACCTGTCGCTGTAGTGGTGGGTGTCGTCTGTATGTGTGTGTGGCGTGGTGTCTGTTTGTGTGTGAAGTAATAACGCAAAAAAAAGAACGGTGGAAAGCGAAGAGAAGGGGAAAAGTGGGAGAACAGAAACTTGTTGAAATTAAACGAGACAAGAGAAGAAAGAACCAAAATGAAGAAGAAGGAAATAAAGCGCAGACAGGGCAGAATTATTTAACTACTGTGCAAAGATTGCATGTTGTTTTTGTTGGTTTTTGTGTGTGTGTGTTCTGTGTCTGTGTGTGTATGTTCGTCGTCTCTTTGTCCTGGTTATCCGCTTCTTCGATGCAACTTTTGCTTCTTCGTTGCCGACGCACAAGTGTTGCCTTATCGGCAACTTTCCATTGCTCCACCACCTTTCTGCGGCCGCTGCTGCGGATGGATGGGGATATTCGATACGAAGCGGTTTACGGTTCACAGTTAAAATTATTTTCACTTATTTGGCCGCCAGTTGCACGCCGCGCGAGGGCATCGAGGGCACTATCGATAGTATCGATATTTTCATATGTTTGGATTGTTGGCTGCTATAAATTACGAAGACAAATTTGTAAACAAATCGACAGGTGGCATCTAAATTTTACAATGAGATAGATCCTAAAAGGTTTCAATGGTTTTTTAATAATTATTTAAGCCCGATACTATTACGATAGTATCGATTGTTTTTTTTTCAAAACATTCAAAGTTGATATTCCTCGATTTTGATATTCGGTTTAATATTACCAGCTAGCTGGGACTCTCAGACTTAAAAAAATAATTTTATCCGATAGATACATAAATTTTCTACAAGATTGGCAAGTTTTCAGAAGTCCTTTTTCATTGGATTGTTTACATATTAAGGTTCAAACAAAACCGCCAAAGCATAAAACGTAAATGTTGACTAAATGTGACGTCATTGTTGCTGGCCAAGCAAGTTTCTTCAATGCGTATGGGCTTTTGTATACCTTATTTCCTATAATTGATGTTAAATGTTTTGTTCCAATCTACATTGAAACATTATTTATAATTTTATCCTAGATTGACTTGTTTTTTACCTATTAATGCACATGTTTGTGTTTTATATATACATTTATCCCGGTTCTGATACCTCTTATTGGAACCCGTGGGCTGCAAACTTTCGTTAATATCGTTAAAACAGAGACTTAGTAGTTCCTGCATTAATTGGATCACCATGAAAGCGCTGTCTTTATTTTTTGTGCGTTAAATGAGGTTGGCGGTCATAAGTATATTAATATATGGAAAAATAAATATTTTACTTGATTTGTTTTATCGAGTGTGACTTGGAACCTCAGAAACCTCAGAAACCTATTTAATCAGGTTAGTAACCAGTAAATATCAACAAAAGTATAATTAATAATTATTTAAGCCCGATACTATTACGATAGTATCGATTGTTTTTTTTTCAAAACATTCAACACTATCGATGGCTCAACTATCAATCGTTTGACACGGCAGTGCTGCCGATTCCGCTTTTTTCCCCCGTAAAATCTGTCTTTTTTCTACATTTCTGTCGATATACTTTAGAATTTTTGTATGCTGACATATTATATGAAAATTAAACCCTATAATTCCCAATTCGATATTTGCAGTTGAGGGTAAATGGTATTGTAATTATAAAAGTCCAATTGGAGCTCCTTTTGAACGCAAAAATGAGCCAATCAATCTCGATATTTTATGTAATTAAGCTGCTGGTACACTAATTCAAAAACTGCCGTTTACCCTTGTTGACGCTGCCAACTCGTCTAAGTGTTGTTACTGGCGCAAAATATTTGTTGTGGCGCCCTCTATTGGAATGAATAGGAAATACTTACTTTGGATTGAAGTTCAAGTAAATAACACACCATGGCGCCACTTGTCGAGGTAGATAACATGTAGATTAAATAGCAATTCTACTTTAAAAAGCGTTAATTTTTAAAACGTAGCCTCATATGATTAAAAACTTGTTAATCATTTAACACAATTAAACACATATATACGTGTGTATAGCATGGAGCTAACTTTAAAGTCGCTTTAGCTGTTCAGCGTACGAATGAACATGAGTTACAGCCCCCCTAAGCCCCCAGGCGGTGCACCCTCTGTACACGCGGAGTTGCACATTTTTGAGTCCTTGCCAAGGCAAAGGCAACGCACGAAGCCCAACCAGGAACAAAAGGGGGGAAGGGTGGTGCCGACTTTATGGCCAAGGAAAGGAGCTGCTGCGCGTTACCCGAAATTTGTTTCTTGTTCTGTGTTGTCTGTTGCTGTCGCAGGTTTTGTTGTAAGCTTTTAATGCAACTACTTAGCGGGGTGAGCAGAGGGGTGCTGGGGTGCTCGGGGGTGAGTTTCTGCCACACGGCGGCGTGTCCTTGGCATCGCCTTAACCATTTGTGCTGGCGGCTCCTCCCCCAATCCACGAGGCGACACATTGGCCCTGGCCCCTGCCTACTGCCTACTGCCTGCTCTGCTCCTTGATCTCTCGTGCCACGTTTTGTGCTGTTGCAAGCAAAAGAAAATTGCTTATTTCTTAATGCATTTGCCATTTCCTTTTTTTGGCTTTTCTTAGACAATGCTCCCACCAAACCCCCCTCCAGCCATGGCTATGAGTTATGGCCACAGTTTCCATATCCATATCCATTTCCATTTTCTTTTGGGTGACCATGCAGAAGTGTTAAGCAGTTTAACGCAACGCTTTTTTCTATCTCTCTCTCTGTGTCTCTGTCTCTGTCTGTCACAATTTGTGGCACATCTTTGGATGTTAATTTTTGGCCGAATCGATCGGCTGTTTTGGCCTCCTCCTCCGCCTCTGCTCTGCCTCTGCTCTGCCCCTGGCTGATGGTGTGCTGGGGCGGCACGCTTTGCTGCACATAAATTCAATGTCATAAATTTTGCAAAGAGGCGTCGCTTTGGCTAGCAAAAAACTTTGCCTATTTGATGCGTTCGGGTGACCTCAACCAGCGGGGCGAGAGAACGCGTGGCGTGGAGATGCGACAAGGCTGGCAAGTTGTACTATGTAGCAGGGAAAGTCACGACAATCCATAAATAGCTAAACAGATCTCAAAGCGTAAAGTAGATCTCCCCCGAATCGCTGGCATCGAATGTTTCCTTTCACTTATGGGAGCCCCGCCAGCAGTTCCATCTCTAATCCTTTTCCCTGCCCCCACTTGTTTCGTTCCCTCTGCCCTGCTTCACGAATCCATGGACCAAATCAAATTCCACTTATTCTTAGCCCAATCCTTTTTGTTTTTTTTGTTTTCTGCTTCCTTTTTGGTTTGCAATTTCTGGCGCGTTTTTTTCATGCTTTCGTTCCATAAAATTGTTTCCCTTTTGTTCGTTACGCTTTGCTCTCTCTCTCTCTCTCTTTGCCCATTCTGTTGCTTGCTTTCCGGGCGTTATCCTTGCGGCTGTTGTGGTCAACGTTCGTCCGGGCGTTATCCTTGCGGCTGTTGTGGTCAACGTTCGTCCTGCCTGTCTGTCGGTCTGCCTGCCTTTCGGTCGGTGTGTCATTGTCGTTTCTGCTTTGCTTGCCACATTCTTGGGGCAACTTCATGAATTTAAATGAACTCTGGGATGCCCCCAAGTTACTGTTAATTGAGCCGGCAAATCGGGGGGTGGTGGGGGGATTCAATTCTCCACAGCGAAAACCAATTCGAAAAGTTGCTGACTCTCCTGCTGTCTCCTGCTGTCGCAGGTGTTGAAATCTATCGTTAATTCACTAATCCCAGCCACAGCAGCAGCAGCAGCCACTTGCCACTTGCCACTTGCCACAGGCCACACCACGCCCCTGTCATCAGCTGCTGCAGGGGGGGGGGGTGAGGGGGAGGGGGCGCGCGTGTCCAAACTTCTAAATGGAGGCAACGAAGCTTCTGCATTCTGGCAACATATTGTTTCATTTTGAACCCCAGCCCCCAAAGGCAGAGCGCTCAGGAGTCACCTACAAACGCAATTTGGCAACAAAATTCAACGAAACAGACACAAAACAAAACAAAACAACGCAAAGCAACAACTGCAACAGCAGCAACAACAAACGGATTGCTGCTGCTGCTGCAACAATGGAGTGCCCAGAATTATACAATTTATGCGATTTACGAGGCGGCTGCTCCTCCTGTGTCGCCTAGTCCGACCAGTCCTTCTTCTGGCTGCCTCTGGTTGCTGTTGCTGGTGTGTCTCCTGGTTTTTTGCCTGGCCCGAAAACTATTTCTATTGCTGCGGCGCCGACATTCGCCTGGGCAAAGGATATGCCGTATTTCCGTTTACATAATAAATTTGCTAACCACGTTGTGTCGTCCTCCGGTTCTGGCACTCTCATTGCAGAAGGAATGGCACCTCCTTCGCTTGCAAACGGCGGCGGCGGACTCTTATTGTGGGTTGCAGCCAAGTCCAATGCGGCATCCACATGCCACCAGCGCCGCCGCCGCCGCCGCCATCGCTTGGCATCAAGTGCTTTGTGGTTTGCGCCCTGCCTCTGGCTGCTCTGCTTTGCTCTGCTCTCCCCTGAGGTTGAGAGGTCGTGGCATGCACACACAAGCTAAAAAAAAAAGGCACAAGAAATGTTGGACAGCAGCCGCAGCAGCAGCAGTCGGAGACGGAGATGGAGATACAGAGACGAGACCTTTCTGCGCTTTATATAAACTTTAAACTCGACACAACTTGTGTGACACTCTGGCAGTGCCGCACACAGCAAGTGGGGAAGGTGCCACAGTTTGAAGATTTAGGCTTAGGCTTCTGCCTGCTGCTGCAAGATTGAAGCTTTGTCTC